AAACTTTATTGGATATACCATTTTGGTATTGAAGAACGACCACTGGCTATAACAACATAGGAGTTTTCCCTGGCAATTGCTTCATTGACGTGCACACCGGGCAGCTGGTTACATAGCTTTCTATATCTTTCTTCATCTTGGGCCACCAGAATTGCCTCTTAACCAAGTGAATGGTCCTTACAATCTCAAAGTGGCCTGCCGGCTTTATGTCGTAGCTTGTTTATGGGCTCTGGATTCTCTGGCTGGCTAGTAGATACAGTTTGTCTCCCTTCCATGCAGGTCCTTTCTCATCATCAGCTCATTTTTGTGGTCCTCTTGTGGAGACCTGCGTTGCCAGTTGCCAGGAGGGGATAATGGAGTTAACTATTTCCTCCCAGGTACTTTTGTATTGGGGCATCTTAGAGAGTGCATCAGTGAGGAAATTCTTTCTCCCCTGGCAAGTACCGAAGGGTAAAATTGAACCAATTAAAGTTCTGAGCCCATTGTAATAGTAACAGTAACAGAGTTGGAAGGGACCTTGGAAGTTATCTAGTCCAACCCCCTGCTCATGCAGGAGACCTCTACTAGGGATTCAAACAGCTGAACTGCCGACCTTTCTGATCGACAAGCTCAACATCTTAGCCACTGAGCCACCTAGCCATTGTACTTGCTTAGGGGACAGGTTCCTTGGGGTTTTTAGGGCTGCTAAATTCTTATGGTCAGTCCACACTTCGAAAGGATCTTATTGCCCTCCAGTAATTGCCTCCAAGTCATCAGCACCCATTGAACAGTATATGTCTGTTGGTGTCGGTCAATTTCCAGGAAGTGTAGGCACAGGGTTGTAGCGTCCCTTTCACATTTCCGTGGAGCAGAACAGCCCCCACCATCTTATTGCTAGCATCAGCTTGTATTACAAACAGTTCCTCCAGATTCAAGTTTTAAGGCAGTGGTGAAATTCAATTTTTTTTACTACCAATTCTGTGGGCGTGGCTTGGTGGGTGTGGTGTGGTGTGGCTTGGTGGGCATGGCTTGGTGGCCATGGCAGGGGAAGGATACTGCAAAAACTCCATTCCCACTCCACTCCAGGAGAAGGATATTGCAAAATCTCCATTCCCACCCCACTCTGCGACCAGCCAGAGGTGGTATTTGCTGGTTCTCCGAACTACTAAAAATTTCTGCTACCAGTTCTCCAAACTACTAAAAATTTCTGCTACCAGTTCTCCAGAACCTGTCAGAACCTGCTGGATTTCACCCCTGGTTTAAGGGTTGGCTCCCCTACCAAAAGCCATATGAGCTTTTTGAAAGCCACTTGGCATTCTATAGTCCAGTTGTGGCTGGCTTAGCTTGGGTTTCACACACACACACACACACACACACACACACACACACACACACACTGCCCATTTTTAGTAATTCAGTGATGGACAGAACTATCTGTGCAAATGAGGAGATAAATTGGCAATAGAAGTTGGCAAAGCTCAAGAAACTCTGTAGTTGCCTTTTTGTCCAGGGGTCTTCCCACTCTAGTATGACTTTCACCTTTCCAGGATCCATCTCCACTCCCTCACTGGACATGTGGTACCCCAAGTAGTCCAAACTGGTTTTGTGGAAGTTGCATTTGGATAGTTTAGAGTAGAGCTTGGCTTTCAATAGTTTTCTTAACATTTCCTGCACTAACTTTATGTGAGCTTCCATCACCTCAGAATAAATGAGGCTATCAATCAGGTACACCAGCACTCTCTTATACAGGTACTCATGCAGTACTTAGTTGATTAGTTCCATGAACACCGCAGGTACTCCCTGCACCCAAAAAGCATCACCCAGAATTGGTAACACTCTAAGGGACAATTGAAAGCTGTTTTCCACTTGTCTCCCTCTTTAATTCTCACTTGGTAGTATGCTTCTGTCAAGTCCAGTTTGGTAAACATCATTCTCTTGGACAAGTATCCTTTATAATGGGGAGGGGGTACATGTTTTCCACAAAGACTCCATTAATCCCCAAAAAATCCACACATAATCTCAAAGACCCATCTTTCTTTTCATTGAAGCATAACGGAACTGCCATCCCAGCTTTTGCCAATTGGATAAAACCCTTAGCTAGTTTTTTTTTTATCCACAAAGCTTCTGAGCTCCTCCATCTCCCTTGGAGTCACTGAGTACATCTTTGGTTTGAGTCATTTTGCTCCAGGCAGTATTTCAATGGCACAGTCAGTGGAGCAATGGGGAGGAAGTACGTCTGATTCTCGCTCGTGAAATGCTTCAGCTAGGTCCTGGTACTTCTTTGGGATGGCCAGCCCCATATGGCCACTCTCAGCTAATGCATTCACAGGTTCTATATTTCCTCTCCTCACCAATGGTGTTTCACCACCTTTGTGTGTTGTCCACATGAATTGCAATCCACCTGCTTTACTCCTCAAGCGCCATTGTTGTCCTTCCAGTCAACTCCTGGATTCCACTTCTTCAACTGCACCAATCCCCATTTCATAGTCTCTGCCATTTGGGGGGGCTACTATAAACCAAATAGTTTCCTGGTGGCTCGCTACTTTCAGGGTTACTGGCTTGGTAACCTTGCTCCAGAGTGGGGTACTAACATATCCACTGGGATGGTCAATGGGGCAATGGTTCCACTTACCATCGGATCATCATCCCCCTCACTGTCACTCTCATAAATCGGGTTGGGCTTGCTGGGGATCAGAATTTTATCTCCATCACTGGAGGGGGGAAAGACCTCCATGACCTTCTACTCCTTCTCCCTCCTGGATGCCTTCTTGGCCTTTGGTGCTCGGAACCTTCAGTGCTGTCATGGGTTGCACGCTGGGCAATTGGCAGCCCGATGGTCCTTTTCCCCATATCAGAAGCAGGCTCCAGGAAGGTGCTGCAAACTCTCCTTTGGGTCAAGGAAGTGGCTGTCAGTCCCTTGTGCACTAGCAGGCATCTCTCTTGGCCTTGTTAGGGATGATCCTCATGTGCTGCATGTTGCCAATACTCCAAGAGGTCTAGCTCCACTATGGTCACCAACTGATACCATGCCTCAAGGTTGTCCAGAATTCCCCAGGGCAGGCAGTTTAGGTACAGTTTCTTGTTTAGTCTGTCTCGGAAGTGATAGATCAGCAAGTGTTCTGGCCACCCCTTCAGCTTCACAGTCAGGCTGCAAAACACCCAAATGTATTCAGCTACTGGCGTACTCCCTTGCTTTATGGTGTGGATCCCAGATTCCACTTGGCGGGCTTGTGCAAGGTCTCCAAATCTAGCTCAAAGGTCATCATGGAATGCATCCACATTCCCCAACTCCAGGGGCCTATCATCATGGAGGAATACCACCCACTCTGCTGCCTCTCATTCTAGATTCAAAGTAATTGCATTCACACAGGCAATTTCATCTGAGTACATTGTTCCATATAGCTCCAAATAGTTCCACACCTGGTTCAGGAAATAGGCTAGCTTCTCCAGCTGCCCATCAAACATAGCTTTCAGAGGGAGGGGTTTTCAGTCATCCCAAATTAGCACATAACATGGTGGCAGCCCCACCGCCTGTGAGACTGCTTGAGCCTGAGTTCCTGCCACTGCAAGGATCCCTGAGCTTGTCCCACAACTGTGGGGGGGACAGCAGCCCCCACCCAGGGACCCCAGCTATTTGCCCATTGCTCCCCAGCCTCACCAGCTGGGGTAGAGACAGGATTGCCAACACTTGGCCTGTCCCAAGTCCTGCTCCCAGGACCAATGATTTCATCAACATCATTCCCCACATCTCCATTCTGACAAATGTCTCATACAGCTGCTCCTCTGAAAGGCTACAGCAGACTGTCAGGAATTTCACTCCACTGGTTTTTCCCAGTCTGCAGCGCCCCTGGCCTTCCATTTGCTCCCTCAATTCATGACCACTCGAGGCGGGATCAAGGGAAATTCTGCTTCAGCTGCCTTCCCCAGTCCACTCAGCCCCAATCACATCTTCAGGTCAAGACAAATGGATCCTGCCATGGCTCCTTCCTCATGCACTGGTGGCTGCTCCATCTTGTCCACCATCACCTTGGATCAAGTCACCACTGTCTACATCCCAGAGTCAGCTTGGGCTGCTGCCAGTGCCTCCCATGGAGGGACCAATCCAGGCTTCACCACCACATCAACTTTCCACTCCATTCCAGACATCATTCGGTCACAGCTCTCTCGGATGCATCCAAGTAGGCTGCGTTAAGTTAAGGAGAACTAGTTTAATGTCAACTAGTCCAACTGTCCAACTAGTGAACCCAAAAGAAGGAAACACTTTCAAGAGCTTTGAATTCCCAAAAGTAAAACTTTATTGGATACACTATTTCAGTACTGAAGAATCAAAATCACTTCTGGTTTTCCTGCACAAATGCTTGCTTACTTAAACAATAGCTTCCCTTTCTCTCCACCTCTGGATGATCACATTGTCCAATTATGAGATGTCCTTTTATTATGGGAACAGTCCATCTGTTTCTCAAACACCTGCCACATCAAGCTTTGCCAAGCTTTCACAATCCTCACACACATTCTCAACATTCTCTTTCCCCTTCCCTCCCACCAGGTCATTGGCAAGTTGAAAACCATTAAGTTTGAAAGAAGCAAAATGGTTCAATCTTGACATACATCTTCCTCCTCCTCCAATTTTCCCCATAACAACCCTGTGAGGTGAGTTGGGTGGGGAAAAAGTGACTTGCCCAAAGTCACCCAATTGGCCTTCATACCTAAGGAATTGTTAGTACAACATTCACTCACATCAAGAAAATATTTTTGAGAGCCCTCCCATCAGGAGAAAATATTTTCTAAAAACAAACATCTGGGGAATATATCTAGACTAGAGAATGGAGAGGAGTCAGTTGCCATGACTCAATTTCCAGGCAATTCTGACTGGATCACTGAGAATCTTCACAGACATAAATCTGATAAAAGATGTTGGTCACAACCACACCTATGGCATCATTACATTGCTATTAACACCGCTCTGGCTGCACTCCTTCATCAACCTGTAAGTTATTTTTTTCTGATAATGACCTCCTTACCAAAAACGCTTCTCTGACATTTGATGCTTCTCTCAAAGCAATGACTGCTGGGATGATATCTAAAGCACTGAATTCCAGCACAGCTGTATTGATAGAAGCAGCATCTTGTGATGGGCCAGCCGTAAGGAAAACAGCAACTTTTCTGATAAGAGCCCCTTGGCGATGATGTTTAAAAGCATTCCTGGCAACAAAGCGCATGGCCCTTCCAATATTCCGTTGGCCTGAAGTCCTCTCCAAAGGAATTCCCTGTACTGCCTCCATAAGGAGATCTTTTCTCTGAAAGTCGGAGAACCGGATAACATACTTTATATTGGTATTATACGAAAGCACTGATATCCGAGCACCAGTTGGGCAATTGCTTTTGCTAATGTTCAAATCCTTCAGCAAAGACATCATAATGCCTTTCATCCTTTCAAAGGAAACTGGAGTAACATCTTCAGACATGTCAAGAGCGAACACCACTTCAGTTGGGTAAACTGGACATTTGCTCTTGCCTTGTAAGAAAAGTAAAAATGTATCAGAATGTTTCTTGGGCTAAGAGAGCACAACTTTTTTTAAATTAATCATTATCTAATTCAAATAACTTACCTACACAGCAAGCTGGATGGGATAAAAGAAAGTTGTTTTAATTCAAATTGTTATACTTATTTGACCAACTATACACCATCAATAAATACAACAGGGAACTTGCTCTGAGCATGCCCTTTGTTTCAATATCCAATATCCAATGAAAAATTGGCTTCAGGTTTGGATAAAACACTGAAAAAAAATTGATATCACAATAGTAATATACTATATTTTTCAGAGCATAAGATACACTTTTTTCCCTTCTATAAGAGGCTGAAAATTTGGGTGCATCTTATACTCCAAATGTAGCTTTTTTGAAGGTTTTTTTCAGCCCTAAGGAGGTGCTAGATTTACCTCTGACTCTCAGCTATGCTTTAGAAGCTTTTTTTCAGTGAAACTCTCAGCTGTGAAGTTTTTTCAGCCCTAATGAGGCCCTAGCGAGTGAAGCTATCTCTGTAGTTTGCCTGCTTTTTTCATTGCTTCTCTCTCCAAAGATCAATTGTGCTTTAGAAGCTGTTTTTTATCCCCAAGCAGGGGATAAAAACCAGCAAACTAATGTGCTAAAGCTGACCAGACTAAGGATGCTAACCAGATGAATATCTGGTAGGCAGCTTTTTTCCCCCTATTTTCCTCCCCAAAAACTAAGCTGCATTTTATACTCCAGTGCGTCTTATACTCCAAAAAATATGGTACCTTTTTAAAGCCAAAGGATATGTTAAAATTTAACTGAGCCATGAAATGGCTTTGAAAAAATTGCTACTGTTCTGTTTAAATGTAAAATATTAATGTAATTTAATATAAAAATTGATTTTATTTTTATTTATTTATTTTATTTATTGAATTTTTATACCACCCTTCTCCCAAAGGACTCAGGGCGGTGCACAACCATGATAAAACCAACAGTAAATAAAAGTTAAAATTAATTAAAACAAATTAAATAATCTGGTCAAGAACATAATTAAAAACTAAAATTTCCGACTTCCGGTGCAGCTGTCAGGGCGGAAGATCAGCGCGGCGCAAGCTCCGTTGTGCCGAATGATTTTCTGGAGTCTCCACGGCTTTTTTTTTTTTTGCCATTCTCAATGGCAAAAACCCGGAGAGGTTGGGGAAGCAGAGGGGCTTTCTTCGGAGGTGAGGAGGGGGAGTGCGACCCCCCCACTGCAATGAAGTGTGAGCTCCGAGGACTCAGAGGACAGGAAGAGGGCCGCGAAATAGTGACCCCGAAGCCAATGACGCTGCAGTTTTGACCGGTACGGGGAGACAGGACAGAACGAGGCAGGACAAGAAGAAGAAGCAAATTGAACTTAAAATTGCAGGGACTGTGCAGCGACCTGAGAGAATAACGGCAGCCTAGATTATAAGTGAAGGAAGCTTTTACTTACTAACTTTCTGGCCATCTCGCTGCTGAAGAACTGGAGGGAAATTGAAGTATAATTTAATTGGATTACGTGATGGAGTTTATTGGATTTAGTGAAATCTTTTAGCTGTGATAACTGAATCTCAGCGGACAAAAGAACAATATATTATGAACTATTAACTGTATGAACTGGGTGACGATTAAGGGGTAAATCTTTTCCTGATCCCCCTTCCTCCCCAGGAGTTCAGTGTGACAGTGAGCCCTTTCCTGTTTACTTAACTACTTTGACAAACTGAATTAAGATTGGAGACTAATGTCCTTCTGAAGATCTAACTGATAACCTATATCGTTAATATTTATTAATTGTATATAATGATTGTTGACTAATTGATTGATTATATAATTATCTACTTAGATTTACTATTTAGCATAATTTGGTATAATAATTTATATATATATATATATATATATATATATATATATATATATATATATATATATATATATATATATATATATATATATATATATATATATATATATATATATATTGTAGATAGACAAGATGAACTTGAATTGATTTATGGCCATAATTATATAGAATTGAGATTGAATAATAGTAAGAGTTAAGCAAGGAGAAAAGCGGAATTGATTGTGCAAACCTAAGTAGACTACATAATATCAGTGCATGATAATTTGGAAAAGTTTCCTCTGCCTAGCCAATATGTCTACCACAGTAGCCTCTACAGTGATGTCTTCGCTGATAACAACACCTCCAGGGCTAAGAAAGTCATCTGAAATAGCAGAGAAACCAGTTATGATGCAAGGAATTCAGGCGATGTTCCAAAATATTCAAGAAATAATGGAGAAAAACCAAGAATCGACGTCTAAAAATTTTGATGACTTGAAAACCAAGATGAATGAACTAAGAGGAGAGATGAAACAAATTAAAGAGACACTGGGAGAGATGAGAACAACCCTCTCTAAACACGAGGAGTGATTGATAGAGGTTGAAAAAACCACTGAAAGAGTTGAAACCCAGATAGATAAATGTGAAAGGAGATGTGCTCAAGTGGTTGGGAAACTCGAGGATGAAGTAGTATTTTTAGAGATGGAGAAGTCTGCTTTTTTCTTACGTCTTCAAAATGTGGTGGAGGACAGAGAGGAACAGCTGGAGGAAATCGTGGGAGAAGTGATCGCAGAAGTAGTGGGAAAAGGAAAAGAAGAAGTCTATGGCGATATAGATGAAGCCTATTGCGTTTATACCAACTATGCGAGACATCATAACTTGCCCAGGGAAATTCACGTAAGACTTACTAAAAAGGCGCTTAGAGATTAAACTCTCCACAAGGCTAGGGATCAGAACGTTACATATAAAGGGCGTCAGATTACAATTTTAAAACAGATCCCTAGAAGGGTGCGATAGCAGAGACAGAGCTATCAATTCATAACCTCGCAATTGAGGAAACACAGTGCACCATACCGATGGTTGCTACCTGAAGGGCTTTTGGTGACACGGCAAGATCGGAAAATTAAAATCAAAAATATACAGGATGCACAGGACTTTTGCGAAAACTTCTTTGGAGCTACTGAAAGTGAAAGAGACAAAGAAATAGTAAAAGAGAATCAGAGAGACCAGAAGGAGGAGTGGAGAAATGAGAGAGGAACACAAGCATATTATGGAAAGGGGAAACGAGATGGGAGGAAGGGTGAGGAAGGAAGATTAGAAGAATACGGGATAGAGACTTGTTTAGCAGCTAAAACTAAAGGGATTAACAGATAGAAATGGCTCAAGGAGTGAGACTATTGACGGTAAATGTCAACGGCCTCAATGCTCCGACAAAGAGAAGACGTATACTAACCAAAATTGTTAAAGCCAAAGTGGATATAATATGTATTCAAGAAGCGCGTATTAAATTATCACAAGCTAATTTATTGAAATGCCCTAAAGCAGGGAAACTGTTTGTAGCAGCTCCACAGGAGAGAAAGAGAGGAGTAGCAATGTATGTAAAGGAACATCTCTCGCTGAAACAACTATTCTCAGACGAGGAGGAAAGAATACTAATATTAGAGGTGGAATTACTACAGAGCAAAGTATTATTGATAGGAATTTACACCCCGAATACTAAACACAAATCATTCTTCCGAAGAATACGAAGAGAAATCCAAGACTTGGAATACGAGCAGGTATGTCTTCTGGGCGACTTTAATGCAGTTATTAATAGGACACAGGATTACAAAACAGGGGAAAACTCAAAAAAAAGAAACAGAGGACAAGATAAGAAGATCTTACCAGTCATTTGTAATGAAATGAGAGATGAATTAGGATTGAAAGATATCTGGCGCGAGCACAATCCGATAAGTGAACAATTCACTTATTATTCTCCCCGGCACAAATCGTGGTCCAGGTTGGACATGATTTGGATGTCACAAGAACTTAATTCTCAAGTGGCAGAGATCAGAATTATGCCAAATGACTGGGCGGATCATAACCCAGTATTAGCCGTATTAAAGAAAGAGGGGAAAAATAGAAAGAGATGGATGATGAGATCAGAGATTTTAAAAGAAACCGAATTTATACAAAAGCTCAAGATAGAAATATCCCTTTTCTTTCAAGAAAACAAAACACCAGGAATGCCACTTCAAATAATTTGGGATACTGCCAAAGCTTTTATAAGAGGTCTTATTATTAAACACACGGCCATTAAACACAAAAAAGAAGAACAAGAAAGGGGCGAGTTAACAAGTAAATTAATAAAAGCCGAGGAACCACTACAAGATAATCCACTATCCATAGGAGCAAAAGAACAGATAGCACTCCTAAAACACCAGTTTAATCTCTTGGAGCTGGATAAATTGAAAGATAAGATAAAGGCAGCAAAGCAAAAACACTTTGAATCAGCTAATAAATTAGGAAGATGGCTCACATTTAGATTAAAAAAGGAAAAACAGAATAGACAAATTGACCAATTAGAAGACAAGGAAGGAAATTTAATAAAAGACAAAAAAGGGAAAGAAAAAATTGCAGTGGATTTTTACAAATAATTATATAAAAGAGAGGAGATCTTAACAGGTGCGATAAAAAATTATATAGAGAACTCGGACTTACCCAAGATACCCAACTTAACGAAAGAAATATTAGAAGAGGAAATTACCTTAGCTGAGATTGAAAAAGCAGTGAAGAAACAGGGAAATTTGAAAACGCCTGGCACAGATAGACTTCCGGCTGAGTTATATAAAACAACGTTTGAGGTAATGGGAGAGCATATGAAAGATTTATTTAATGAAGTCCTGGGAAAAGCAGAAATTCCCCACTCATGGAGGGAGGCCAATATCAGTTTAATTCCTAAAGAGGACCCCCCTCGACAGATATAAAAAAATTATAGACCAATATCCCTTCTGAATTCAGATTACAAAATTTTCACCACAATTCTAGCAAGCAGATTAAAAGGCTTCCTGAATGAATTTATACATAATGACCAAAATGGATTTCTACCATCACGACAATTACGAGATAATTTAAGAGTCATGCTAAATGTATTGGAATATTACGAAGATCACCCAGGCAAACAGGTCACACTAGTTTTTATAGACGCCCAGAAGGCATTTGACAGAGTCAACTGTGAGTTTATATTATTACAGTTAGAACACATGGGCTTTGGACAGAGATGTATAAACGCAATTAAAGCTATCTATTCCAAACAAAAGCCAGACTACTGATAAATGGGGACCTGACAGAAGAATTCCCTATTGGTAAATTTTGGGTATTCAATCCATTTAGAAAAATGGCAAGAGATTTGGGCTGTCCTTTATCCCCTTTACTTTTTATCTTATCACTAGATAAGATATTATTATATTATTGCGTAAAATAAGGAATGAAGAAAGAATAAAAGGCCTTAGAATTGGACAACAGGTATATAAAACCCAGGCCTTCACAGACAATATGGTTTTTATCTTGGAAGAGCCCATAGAATCTTGTTTATATTTATTAGAGACAATTGAGGAATTTGGGGCGGTAGCAGGTTTATTAATCAACAAAAAGAAAACAAATATATTAACTAAGAATATCTTAGAGGAAGCTAAGAAGGGCTTACAGGAAATGACTGGATTAAAAGTAGTTAACAAAATTAAATATTTGGGAATTTGGCTAACTGGCAAATGTTCGAGCATGCAAGAAGACAATTATAATAAATTATTAATTCAAACAAGAAAAAATTTAGATAAATGGGGTAAAATACAACTCTCACTTCTAGAACGAGTAATAACAGTAAAATCCTACTTTCTACTGAAGTTCAACTTTTTGTTTCAAACCACCCCAGTGAATTTATCCAAAAAGTTTTTCATGGAGTTAAACCAAATAATAACTAAATTTATCTGGCAGGGAAAAAGCCACGGATTTAAAAAAAGATGATGCAAGAGATAAAAGAAAGAGGAGGCCTGGGCCTACCTACCATGTTGGGAGAACTACTACTCAACCGCTCTGTTAGCCTGGGCAAAAGAATGGATTACTTTAGGTAATAGTCGTCTTCTTAAAATAGAAGGTTATGACCTACAACAGGGTTGGCATATGGCACTTTGGAGAGATAATACTCCACAAAGCAAATGGTTCACCCGACATTACATAAGAAATATTTTAATTCTAAACTGGGAAAAAGTTAGTAAAAAATATTATATTAAAACACCGTGCTGGATATCACCTCTAGAAGCATTGACATACCCCAAACTTTATAACCCTGCGAAAAAATTAATATATAAGGATTTGCTGAATGTACAAGGAAAATTAAAATCTAAACAGGAATTGAACTCCCAAGGACTGCAAGTGGATTGGTGGACCTATCTACAGATTTAATCTAAATATAAAAAAGACAGAGATAGGAAAGGTATAAACGTTGACTTACAAGAATTAGACAAAATCCGGATGGGCCAAGAAAAAGGCATGATTTCGAAAACTTATAAATTGTTGATGAGAATAGAGATAGGTGACGAGATAATTAAGGATACAATGATTGCCTGGGGGAAAAAAATTGGGTATTCAATCCATTTAGAAAAATGGCAAGAGATTTGGTGGGGGAATATGAAATTAGTAGTTTCTACGGCATACAAAGAAAACATCTACAAGATGATATACAGGCGGCATCTCCCCCCCGATAGACTAGCTAAAATGTTCACTGGACAGTCTGCTGAATGCTGGAAGTGTGGGTTTGAGCGTGGCACCTACTACCATCAGTGGTGGACGTGCCCGAAAGCAGTAAAATTCTGGGGAAAAATAAAAAATGGCTTAATGAGATTTTAAATCAAAGGATTGAATGGCGACCAGAGACATGCCTGCTCGGCTCCAAACCAGAAAATATTTAAAAAGACTCATGGTATCTTGCATTACATATTATCACAGCGGCGAGATTGACGTACGCTCAATTTTGGAAAAATCAAAATATCCCATCAGAGGAGGCAATTATAAAGAAGATTTTAGAATGTGCGGAAGCAGATAAATTGACTAAAAAACTAAAAGATAGAGACCAAACACAAACATGTTTATCCTGGGAAAAATTATATGTTTGGCTAGAGAAGAGGAAATTATAAAACAAACTAGATGAGGAATTGTATCTATTGAGAAATTTATACTATACAAGTAAAGTGAGGTCGGATAGACATAATTGATTTATAAAGGTATACAAGTTGTTCTGTCTTCTCCGGAATATAATATAGATACACTGTACCGAATACTAGGTTATTAAGGTACTACTTATAGGTATGCTTGTTTTTTGTTGTGTTGTCCTGTATGTGATTTATATGGTGTGTTGTCTTCTGTTTTTAATGAAAAATGTAAATAAAGATTATTTAAAAAAAAAAACTAAACTAAAATTTCTCAATTAAAATTCAAATTTTTTAGACCAGCCCAGCTTGCTGGAATAAAAGCATCTTGAGGGCCTGGCGAAAGGTGTGAAGGTCAGGGATCCTCTGTATCTCCGGGGGCAATTCGTTCCAAAGGGCAGGTGCCCCCACAGAGAAGGCTCTCCCCCTGGGGGTCGCCAGTCGACACTGTTTGACCGACAGCACCCTGAGGAGTCCCTCTCTGTGGGAGCATACTGGTCGATGGGAGGCTATCGGTGGCAGAAGGCAATCTCGTAGGTACCCAGGTCCTAAGCCATGGAGCGCTCTAAAGGTGGTAACCAACACCTTGAATCGCACCCGAAAGGCCACCGGGAGCCAGTGCAGCTCGCACAGGCAAGGTGTTACATGGGAGCGCCGCGTCGCTCCCATAATCACCCGCGTAGCCACATTCTGGACCAGTTGAAGCCTTCGGGTGCTCTTCAAGGGGAACCCCATGTAGAGAGCATTACAGTAGTCCAGGTGGGAAGTGACTAGGGCATGAGTGACCGTGCGATCCAGAAAGGGGCGCAACTGGCGTATTAGGCGAACCTGATAAAAAGCCCCCATGGCCACAGCCATCACATGATCGTCGAGCGACAGCTGCGCATCCAGGAGGACACCCAAGTTGCGAGCCCCCTCTGAAGGGGGCAAAATCTCACCCCCAATAGCCAGCGATGGAACCAGCTGGCTATATCGGGACGCCTGAAACCACAGCCACTCAGTCTTGGCGGGGTTGAGTCTGAGCCTGTTTCTCCCCATCGAGATCCATACTCCAGATCCCATTTAATTTGGGAATCAATTTTAATTTAAAAAGCTAACATTGTTTGCTTTAAAACAGGAGAATTGTATTTCTAAAAGTTTACATTTTCCTTCTTTTTTATCTTCATTGTGGCAATTCCCATTCATCATCTACTATAACCAACGTGTCTTTTTATAATATCATCAATGACTTATTCCATGGCTTGGTTGCTATAGTTGTCTCCCTTCAAAGTAAACTCAAGGAATATGTTTTCTGTTGGGGATTAAATAATTTAATACAACTAACCAAATAAAAATTAGTAGGTTTCTTAAACCTGATAATAGTTTTAATACTATAGTAATAGTAGATACTGGTAGCCTGAAGTTATTACTTACGGCAGTTTCCTCTTGTAAGGTTCACAAGTTGACAAGTCTGCAGACAACAGGCAAAATAGCATGATTAGTAGCATATCTCTGTGTATATATGCTCAGAAATCTACAGAATTACTGTATATAGAAAGTATCCTATAGTTCTTGAGATTTTCTTCTTAGTTTTGAAGTCAGTTAAATTTAAATAATGTTCCAAAGTTTTCATTTAGGCTGTTTCTCTTCTCCACATATGGTCTGCTTAACTCATACTTGGCCAAATCAGGAGAAATTTTGAAAATCAACAGCTGTTGAAGACTGTTTTTATGCTTAAATATATATTTTTATAGTTAAATTAATCTTGTATACAGAAAGGTTAGTAGTTCACAATGTCAAATATAATAATACATACTGTCATAGCAGTTGTGCCTTTTGGACCTTTTAAACCCTGGAGAGAGAAAAAATAGATTTATAAAATCACATTAGAAAGAAGATAATGAGACATAGATAGATAGATAGATAGATAGATAGATAGATAGATAGATAGATAGATAGATAGGTAGGTAGGTAGGTAGGTAGGTAGGTAGGTAGGTAGGTAGGTAGGTATGAAGAAGAAGAAGCAACATTAGATATTCTAAAACCAGTACTTTTTCTATCCCAACAATTTGGTATGCTTCATCTTCATTCCATTTTTTAAAGTTATTTTTAATATAAAAAATATCAAATCAATGCATGAACAGTTTGGCACCTGGGTATCATACATTCTAATACAAATAAAACTAATCAAGTTAATCATAATCCTTACATTTAATCTGTTTATGTATTTTTAATAATAATACACACTTGTATTAAATTATAGTCTATTATTGTTCAATTATTCCACGTTTTCTCTTGTTATTACTTTCATTTTATGATATAAAAGTGTATACTAATATTCCCACTTCTCTTATTTTTATCACTTATTCTAGCTTTTAATCATATCACCCTTCATTAAGAGACTTTTTCTTTCTTTCTTCAATACTTTAATTGCTATGCTTTAAAAGAAAGATAAGAAAAAAGAAAAGTGAATCAAAACAACAATATAAAAAAGAAGAAAATCATCTATCCATCATCCCTTACCCGTTTTAATACTTTAATTGCTATGTTTGTTTTTTTTACTTGCCTCCCAAATTCCTCTCTTAAATCTTTGCCTCTATCTATATCTGCATGGATGTTTAATCTAGGTATTCCTCCCACCTCTATCCCAGTGGTGCAATCCAATTTTTTTTACTACTGGTTCTGTGGGCGTGGCTTGGTGGGCGTGATGTGGCTTGGTGGACATGGTGTGGCTTGGTGGACATGGCAGGGGAAGGATACTGCAAAATCCCCATTCCCTCCCCACTCCTGGGGAAAGGATATTGCAAAATTTCCATTCCCACCCTACTCTGGGGCCAGCCAGAGTGGTATTTGCCAGTTCTCTGAACTACTCAAAATTTCCGCTACTGGTTCTCCAAACTGCTCAAAATTTCTGCTACCAGTTCTCCAGAACCTGTCAGAACCTGTTAGATTTTACCCCTGCTCTATCCTCTTCCACTGCCTAATTTCTAACATTTCTACCCAGGCCCCTATCTTCCTTTCAAACATATCTTCCCAGTCTCTTAATAATATTTTTCCCCTGGTTTAATTCATCAATCATTATTATTTTCATTGTTGCCTCCTCTTTGTCTTCCTCCTTCTTCATTCCTTCTGTTGACTCCTCCTTTTCCTGGGCATCTTGGTCTTTACTCATCATCCCTCGTATGGTATCTTCCATTTTTTCCATAATCTCCTTGAATCTTTTCTCCATGATGTCTTTTGTATTTTGAAAAAGTAAGTCCATCTTCACAATTCCACTCATCTCTTCCTTATTAAGTATCTTGTTTTGTTTTTAAAAATTCAATTTTTATCCAGCACTCCAAAATGATTTATTCATTCTTTAAGTTACCTTCAAGGAATGCACTAGTCCCAATTCTTTATATCCCATAGGTTAACAATCAGTTCCATTTAAATAGTCCCAGTGGTTATCAAAAGCCCCTTTATGTCCCCTTTACAGATTCAATCTTCAAGTATGTGAGGATGTGATGGCGATCTGGCTGCAACATCTGTCACCTCATTGATCGCCAGGGTTGATTTGGCTGATCTGGCTAGCTAGACGGGTGTCCCTTTCCTCCCTCACCGCTCCATGTGTATCCCTCCCAAAGCTGCGCACTTGGTGGAAGAAGATGACCATCCCAGATAGAAGGAGTGTACCGATCTTCGATCAAAGGTATATGATAGCTGCGCTCCCTTGCTAGAACCTCCAAACAAGCTCTCGTATAACATTCAAATGTCTCTTTAATTGAATAGCTTTCTCATTTTCATATTTATGTCTCAGTAGTCATAGGGTATCTAGAAGTAATCCAATGGGTATTTTCATTGTTCTTCATATAGGTATTCCCAAATTTGTAATGTTGTTACAGTGGGCTCGGGCACTTAGATCATTAGAAATGAGTACTCCAAGGTCCTTGACAGAGTGAGAGTCATCTACAAGGTCATGTCCATCTAATTGGTATTTTATGTTTTGATTTTTTTTTTTTTTTTGCAATTGTGCAAGACAGAGCATTTGTTGGTTGATATTTGGAGTTGCCACTTGTTAGACCAATCTGATACATAGTCAAGGTCTTTTTGAAGGGTAGTTGCATTGTCGGTGGTGTTGAATAGTTTAACATCATCAGCGAAGAGAACACAGTTGCTTTTAATATGAGCACAAAGGTCATTTATGTAAAGTATGAAGAGTGTTGGACCTAAGACACTGCCTTGGGAAACACCACTATTAACATGTACAGGATTTGATAGAGCACTTCCTATTTTGACCACTTGTTGTCTGTTTGACAGGAAGGCAGCTATCCATTTATGTAGGAGTCCAGAAATGCCATAGGATTTTAGTTTTAGAAGTAATTTGTGGTGTACCACTGAATCAACAGCTTTACAGAAGTCTATGTAAACTGCATCTATTGCTTTGCCCTGATCGAGATGTGTAGTCCATATATTTTTGCAATGTAGTAGTTGTAGATTACAGGATAATTTTTTTCTGAAACCGAATTGTTTGTTAGAAAGTAGGTTGTTTGTGTCTAGATGTAGGGTAATAGATTGGTTAATGATTGATTCCATCAATCATTCTTTGCAGATGATGCAACATAAAGAGATTGGTCTGTAATTTTCAACTAGGCTAGGGTCTCCCTTTTTGAAGATAGGGATGACCCTGGCTTGTGACCCTTGGTAGGGCAAGGTGCTGGTACTGAAAGATTTTTCAAAAATTATGCTTAGAGGTTCTGCAATTGCAGTGGAAAGCTTTTTTAAGAAGTATGCACATAGTCTATGAGGTCCAATAGATAGAGATGGTTTTAGATTGCGTAGTGCCTTTTCAACATTGTCTTCTGTAAAATCAATATGTATAAGATCACCATAATCATTGTAATTGTCTGTAGTACGACTGGGATATATTGGGTATGTGTTGCTGCTGTTTACAAAGACTGAGCCAAAGAACATGTTAAAGAGATTGGCTTTAATGGTTTCGTCAATATAATCTTCATTGTTTGGTCCTTTTAGGGGTGGGATGGATCTCGAGTCTTTAAGTTTGTTGTTTACAAAATTATAGAAAGCATGGGTGGATTTTGTGCATAGAAGGTTTTCTTCTTGCTTGATGTGATAATTGGTGCATTCAATCTTTATTTGTTGACATAAGTTTTTATAGCGGTTTTTGAAGTTAGTTACATAGTTTGTTTTGTTTTTTCACCAAAGAGATTTTTTTCTGGATTGTAATTTCCTTATTGTTATTGATAGTTTATTTTTTCTGGTTTTGTGGGGTATTAGTGGTACGTAAAGTTTAATGATTCTTTTGAGTTTGTGCAAGAAAATGTTGTAATGGTCATCAGCAGTATTACAGCCAGAGAATAGATTTTGCCAATCAAGATATTAGAGTTCATTGTCTATGAGATCATAATTGGCTTGTTAAAAGTTATAACTGGGAATCCCATCATTATGATTTTTGAGAGGGGGTAAGTTGATACAAAAGTCAATCATGCATAACTAATTATGAGAAATCAGCAACATCTGGAAGACAAATTCCCAATCTTAATTTGGATCCTCCCAAAAAATATTTCAAATAAATTGAAGAATAATTTTAAATGCATGTGAAATCAGCTAATCTTGAAGGAAAGCTTCCACTTTAGTTGTCTCCACATTATGGCAGATGAAACACTTACTTAATTTGTATATACATGTTTGATCAGCATTTGCTTATACTTTTGTGATATGTCCCACACTGGGCTGTCTTTGAAGAATATTCAGAAACTGCAATTGGTCTAAAATGCTGTGTCATATATTGGTGAATCAGAGTCACTATAGTCATACAGCACCTGTTTTACAATAACTGTACTGACTACCAATACATCCAGGTACAATTCCAATTGCTGACTTTAGCTTAGAGTGCCCAATATAGTTTAACATATAGACATCTGCAAGACAACCTTCTTCACATACAAACTGGCTGATCTAGCATGTACATCTCATCTTCTTTTCAACCTGTGAGACGCAGGGGGCAAGGACCTTCAGACAATATTTTTTCAACTACAGCTCCATATTATGGAATAGTTTTCCTCTTGAAGTCTTCAATGTTGACTTCCCAGAAATTACTTAAGACTAAGTTGTTTCATATGGTATTTGGAAAGAAGCTATCATCATTGCAATACTTTGTATTTCATCTCCATATTTGTTTTTAATTATTACTTTAAGTTGGTTTTATGTTTGACAATGTTTCATATTGTATGATATAAACTTGTAGGAGTGTTTTGGAGTCTAGTGATACAGAAAATCAGTCAATAAATTTAATTAATTTTGGTAATGTAGTTTGATCAATACTGAGTTTCAGATATCAATATTAGGTTAAATTTATATTCATATTACCATTCTTCCAGATGATCCTTGACTGCCTGGATTACCCCTTGTCCCCGGTGTTCCATTTCTGGCCTTAAATAAATACAAAGAGCATATTTACTCTCCAATGACAAGGCAACTTAGCTTAATTTTCATTACAAAAATTGCTTGAATGTTGTTTATTAGGTATACATTAAAGCAATTGGACTCTTGTTTAAAATAGCTGAATCTAGGTATTATAATTACATACATCAGTCTCTTTGTCTAACCTAAGATGATAATCAAACAATAATTGTTAAATACAGCCATACTAATACATGCCTTACAAATAATTTTCACAATGAATTCTACTTAGGAATACTTTTGAAAAGTATGTAGAAATTGCAATTGTTCCAAAATACTGATAGGGATTCACATGCAAGATCATGTTATCATATAGTACTATTGTCATATCCAACCATGACATAGTTATTAAGTTGATTATTACTAGTTTTTGCAATCATCACTCCTGAAGAGTTTAGGTCCAGGTTATTTTAGAGACCACTTTTTCATATATGGACCTGCCATTACTCTAAACTCTAAACTCAGACTATTGGAGAACCTTAGGTGATCTGAAAAGAACGCTTTTATTCCCCAGTATAATGGTATGTGGGAATGACCTTGGCAGAAAAAGGGAAGAGCCACAGACCGTAGGTAATAATAAGAAGCAACTGAACCCATAGAAAGAATAGGGACATGGCATATATCTCAGAAGGGACCGTCTCCAGTATTTTGAATATAAAGGCAAAGGGGGAGAGGTGTACTTTCAGATTTGCAAGATTGTGATCATGAAACATTGCAATAAAGTTAGAGCTAGTACTTCTATGTGTGCTTCTTGTCTGCATTATCTTGCAAGGCAGACACACATAGCATTGCAGCTCCATTTCCACATCCAATGTCTTATTTTGAAACTAAAGGGGGCATCATCTGCATAACTTTTTTAAAAATGGAAAATAAGGAACAGTCATTTGTAACCAAAAAGTAAGAATAATTTCTGAGGCAGCAAGTGACTCAGAAATAAATGAGACCAATAATCACACTGAAACAGATATTTCCTAATATGCTGCTCTTAAATCTGCTGTACATACAAGAAAAAAGAAAATATACAACAATGTTGAAGGCCATTAGAACCTCCTGTCTCTGCAAACCAGAAGCAGCAATAAACATGGATTACCCTATGTTCTTTAATTCCTTTGGCACCTTTATTGCCAGGATTGCCTGGATCACCAACTTCTCCCTACAAAAGAAGCAGAAGCAGAAATTGTAATCAGGGACATGCAATCTTAGAGTCCCATGACCCCACCTCCCTTCTAAAGAAATAATAATTTTGCTACAGTAAATTGGTATTTTTTAATAAGAGGTGAGAACAGAGATAATAGAGAATAAATAAAGTTACCTAGTGCTGTAGCCCCAACCCAAAGTTTAAAACTTCACTGTCGCAACATTCGCTCTTGCATACCTGTCGTCCAGGGTTTCCAGGAGATCCAGTCAATCCCTGATATTAGTAAAACAAAAATACCATGTTGGTTTTCAAATTGCTTATTCATGGTTTTAAAAAAAAAACCAATGGATATTCTTCTTTTTAATTACTCTTTGGTTAAATAAATGTGTGGCACCAGCATTGCTTTACTCAACAGCCATCTTGGAAAGCCAAATCCATAACTGAAATAGCTTACACCTTTTAATTGATTCAATAATTGTCTATCACAATCCTTGATGTCCGAAATAGGTTTTCCTACAATACATCTGGTTTAAGACTTATTGCAAGCCATATATCCAGGACAAAGGAAGTCACCTTTGACACAAAGGAAGTCACAGTCACCTACTTAGAATTGCTTCTATGCTGACATATTAAAGAATTATTCAGGTTAACAATGTTAACCACATAAACTAAAATAGCAGTACTTCCTGCACAAAACAAATGGAACACAATCATGGTTTAACCACCATTTTTCTTCAAATACATAAAATTTCATGAAAAATATTGCCCAAATAGGTCGCCAGCAATTAAGATGCAGAATATAAATATTTCTGTGCAATTCTTTACATGTTAGTTTACCAACAGCATTATAGGACATTACTCTGGCAATTAAGATAAAATAGCGCAGATCCAATCAGTTCTGCTACAAGGCCCATTTAAAAACAAACTATAAAACAGTTGGCTAGTCTTCATCTGCAGTAATAGTTCATGTAAAGACAATAGAGTCTATCCATCTTGTAAAAGCATTTTTCCAATCTTTCAAGAAGAAGGAATTTCTAATGAAGGAATCTTTTTATATCTCCTGATGTATAAATTAGATGGTCACTGGAATGCTGCATATGATGTAGGAAAGATTGGCTTAGTTTCTTCCAAACACAAACTATCTTTTCTTTCAGTTATAATGTCATTAGAACTTAGAATTGTTTATACTTCCTCCCCACTTCATTTTATGGTATCCTAAAATTGTTTGCTTTTGATAGAGAAAACCCTGATGGTCAAAATTAAAGCTTATTCTAGTAAATGTTAGATAAAATTAGCATTTTAATGTTAATTTGGAATGGAACTGATTTCCATGACTACTTCAGCCAAAATGTTTAGAATTTTTAATTTAGTTCTCCATTGATGAACTGAATTTTATTGCTTTCTGTTGCTTGCCATGAAATGGTTTGGATGCATAGACCTGTGTTTTCGATAGTGGATTGTGGATTTTGCAAGCATGGAATGAGACTTTTGTTTGCAGCAAATAAAAACAACCATTCCCTACTTAGATAAAAAGCTAATGTAATATATTACTTATTTATTTTTGAAGAATTAGATCCTCATAACACACTCAAAATATAATTACTAGGAATGTTAAGCCCCATGGAATCAGAAAGGCTTTTGTAGGTTGACTCCAATTTATTTTTATTGAGGGTTCCATAAGATGTATTCTCAAATAGTTACAGCCTTAATGTTTAGTATTATCACTGGATTATGTTTATTTGTCAGGAAGACTAAAGTATGATTCTTACCTTTGTGCCTTTTCTTCCTACAAGGCCATAGCCATTACTACCATCAAAGCCCTATAAAATATGGGAAAAAATAAATAGCTGCTTAATCTTAAGGTATTCTATTGGGGCAAGCCTAACATTAACCAATAAGAGCTAGTTTGGTGTAGTAGTTAAGGCATCAAGCTAAAAATTGGGAAACCCCAAGTTCTAGTCCTGCCATGGCCATGAAGCCAGCTGGTGACTTTGGGCTAGACCAGCGGTTCTCAACCTGGGGGTCGCGACCCCTTTGGGGGTCGAACGGCCATTTCACAGGGGTTGCCAAAGCCCTCTCTCGGCCCCCCCCATGCCTTCACTCACCCTCACTCTCTGCTCTGTTGAATCGCCGGCCGTTCACTTACCCCGCCCACTCCCAATCTATTGCTGCCTCCTGAGTCCCAGCTGATGGCTAGAGGAAAAAAAACTGTTTAAATTCTTGCCACGGGGCTTCAAAGCCCACCCCTTGCCCCGCCCCTCCGCACCACTATTTATTGCCAATAAATAGTGGTGTGCGAGGTGCGGGCGAGCCAGCAATTTAACAAAGGGTTCGGTGTTTTTTTGTAATTTTATTGGCCCGCGGAGCTTCAGCATAGGCTAATTAGCCCTTGATTAGATCGGCTCCTGACTCTCAGCTGATTTGCTCTCAGCTGTTTTGCTCAGGGCTCTGCTGCTTGTTGGAGCACATTTTTTTCCCCTACCTATGCTGAAAAATGAAACTGAAAGTAAAGCAGGCTGTTGGCTTTGCTGTTGCTGCAACGTTGGAAAATTAGTCAGGTAGATTTCTTTTCTTTTTCCTCATCAAAAAAGGTAGGTGCAAACAATGGGAAATTTAGGGAAAAAGAGGAGAGTTCAAGATTTTAAAACACAAAAGAAAAAAAGCTCTATTTAACTAGGGAATTGTAATAATTGAGATACTATTAATTGTATATTGTGTGGAAAGCAGAAATGGTTAAGTTGTGGTTTGGAGGAATATATGGGGGAAATTATTTGGTTTATTATTATTGGTAAATATAATTAATTGATTTGTAAGAAATTGGATTGCATGGAAATAATTGGAATATTCATGTTCATATTGATTAATATACAAAAAAGGTAGTTATATAACTAATTGATTTATATTAAAATGTTGAATTTATATTAAACAACTGTAATATTACATAATTAACCAATGTGAGGATGGATATAAAAATAGATGACAATGGGAAGGGGTACAATATAGAATAGAAGGGAAAAATTGAATTTGATTAAGATTAGAGATGAGGATGAAGGGTAATATTGGTTTTTTACAAAAATAGATAAGGAATAAATATGGCAAAAAGGAAATATAGAAATTGTAAATTTAATTGAAATGACTAAACACTGTTTAAATTTGTGAACCGGCCAAATACTCTGTTCAAAGAAAATACATTGTATGTTTGTATGTGTGTTTCTAATTATTGTTATTTATTCATATTTGTTCTCTTTTATTCTTTAAAGTTTAACAATTCATTCTTTATCTTAATATCTTTATATTTGTTTGGGGTTGGCTTTTTTCCCTTTCATCTTTTTTATCGTACAGCAATCTTTCTCCTCAAACCTACCACCTCTCTCTTTTCTTTCCTTCTTACTTTCTCTTCCTCCCCCTCTTCTTCTCCTCCCTACTTCCTCTTCCTTTCTCCTTCTCCTCCTCTCTTCCTCCCTCTCTTATCTTCACTCCTACTCTAATTTCCCTTCTCTTCCTTCATCCCTCTCTATTGCTGTATCCTTTTATGCATATGGACTACTCAGAGGGCTGAAAAAGTTATTTCTGACTGGCCCTTGCACTTTTGACCAGTCCTTGAACTTACGACTGTCCTCACATTTTACGTTTTTGCCCTATCTTGTCACCATGGTGAAGAGAAACAGTTTTGAAATGAGTGACATGGTTGTTAAGAATGCTACAATGGGGGGTTCTGGTTTGACTTCCGTCGCCATCAGACGGTCCTTTGAGACCGCCAGCCCCATCGCTCGTAAAGAGCCGCCTTTACATCTGAAAGGCGGCTCGAAAAACTCCATTTCCATAAGGAAATGTGAGATAGAGCAGGCGAGGGCAGGTAGAGCCCTCTGTGAAGTCCCCAGAGTTTTTTTTTATTCTTGGGGACGAAGCAGAATGAGGCTCCCTATTTCCTTCACTGCTGCTCCGGGCTTCGGGAGACCTCTGCCTCTTGCAGAGCCAGGCGACGAGATCAAACCTTTCAATGAAAACAACAGATTGCTTAAATAAAGAGGATGAGATCTGGACTTGGGACCCTAAATTGCAAGTATTTTTAATGATTTTATAAGCGTTTCTAAGTGAAGGAAAAAAAAGCTTAAAATGGCGACCGCTGAGGCTTGAGAGGAAAAAAAAGCCGAAAGTGAAAGTCCTTCCGTAACAAGTTACAAAGTAGCGGAGCAAACAGTGCTGGCTAGAATAGAGAAAAGAAAAAATTTCTATTCTAAGTTTCTTTTTTTTCTTGGAGATCTGATATTGATCTTGTTGGAGAGAAGTCCTCTTTCTTCAAAAAGAGTTTGTCTGTGTGGCAGGATGGCGTTAAAATTAACAAAGCCAGACAAACAAGCAGCGGGGGGGGGGTTTCCCCCATTTACAATTATGTGAATAAGTTTTGAGTTTACAGACTCAGAACAATGGTTTTAATTTAAAAGAATTTGTTTTGAAGGAAATGGCAAGACACGACGAGATTGTGAACCAGAATTTTGAAAAATTTAAGCAGGAAATTAAAGAATTCATACAATTAAAGTATGATAACTTACAAAGAAAGATTGTAACAGTGACTAATGCTTTTTCAGAAATAGTTATAAAGATGGATACAAATATCAAGTTATTAGAGTCTAAAATGGAGGAAGTTGATAAGATTTATAATTTGAACAATAAAATACAAAGAATGGAAAATGATTTGATAAATATTCAAGACAATAGCTCTGAAGTAAAGTCTAAAAAGGAAGCTGATCACGAGACTTACAATGCAGAAAATATAAAACAAGGGATTGAAAAAGAAGTTACAATGATGCAATACAGGCTCACAGAATTTGCGGTTAGAATGAGAGGGTTATAGGAAAATAATAGAGATGATTTAAGAAAAATATCTGCTGAAGTTCTGGCTGGGATTTTAAAGATTCATCCAGAGGAGGTATCTTGTAAGATCGACAAGGCCTATAGAGTAAATTCTTGGATTGCAAAGCAAAGGCAATTGCCTAGAGATGTGGTGATTTATTTTACAGATAAAGAAATAAGAAATGATATTGTGCAAAAATCTTTTAATTCCACTCTACAATTGTATGGAAGAAAGATCTGGATATATAAAGAGTTGCCACCCAAGATATTAAAAGATAGAAAGAAATTCGGATTTTTGGTGACTGAGCTAAACAAACAAAACATCTCATTCAGGTGGGATGTCCCAGTTGGCATAATACTGAGATATCAAGGAGAAAGATACCAACTAAATTCTGTTGAAAAAGCGGAAGAATTTTAGTATAAGGTTCTTAAAATGGGTTCAACATCTTCATGTATAATACATGAGTGGAATAAAGAAAAGCAAAATCAACAAGAGATAGAAATTCAGGATAAGCAGAAAGAGATGAAAGTAATGGAAAAACAACAAGTTACAGAGGACTTTGTAGATGAGCAGCTTCTGGATTCTCCTTCAGAGGTTACAGCTGGACTATTTATAAATATAAGAGAGGCGGCTTTGGATTCTAATGTGATGATTCATCAAGTTACAGACCAGCATAGAAATCAATCAGTTGACATACAACTCAAAGAAAAGAAACCAGAATGGAGACTTAAGCCACAAAAGCAAAACCAACAAGATCAAGTTACAGATCAGCATGAAAACCAAATAGTTGATACACAATTTATAGAAAGGAAATCAGGATGGAGATCTAACCCACAAAAAGTCAAGAAAAGAAGAAGCAGGTCTTACAACAACAAAAACTTTTAAACTAAACAATAGTGCAATGCCAGTTATCTAAGAGATGATTGAATATATGACAAGATAGCTGAGGCAAAGTATTGATTTATATTATCCTGAGGAGAGTGACAGACCTCTGCAGTGCTCTACTTTTGGGATGTGAAAAGGGCCTTAAACTGAATGGATTGGAATTATCTATTTTGGATTCTTTGATAAATGTATTACGTTTATGTTGAGCTACAAGGCAAGAGAGTTATGGGATTGGGGCACGCAGAAGATCTGGTTGTTACCCTATTAATGGTGGTTGGAATTAATAATTTAGATGAAAGACACTACTATAGACACTATATGGAATACAAATATAAAGTCACTCGGGTGGTTGTTTTTTATATATCAAGACATCTATTGTTGACGGGGGCAGATGGTAATTGAAGATACCGAACATACTGTTGGAATTAGGATGTGATGTTACCTAATATGTGTGATGGAGTTAACAATCCAGCTGAAAGACACTACAAAAGATATTATATGGATTACAAGCTTAAAGTCATTTGAGGATTTTATTTATATAAGGGAATACTTTTTAGTGGTGTGGGCAGAAGAATAAAGATATCAAGAACTATTATGTATGGTAGTTCTGTAGGAAAGTGGGTGGAGATAGGTTAGCTTATTGATTGTTTAGTTGAAGAAAAGGGATATTATGTTTAGATATGAATATATGTAAAAGATTTGAGTTAAGAGATATATCTATGGGGGTGGAGGAAATGGGCAGACTATGAGTTGAATAAATGTTAAATTAGGATTTATTATATCGTTTTATAGTGGAAGGTTGCTTTGAAATGTCATATTAATATACAAAAAAGATTTGATTTAAGAGATATATGTATGGGGGAGGAGTAAAAGAGTAGATCATGAGTAGAAATTGTTAAATTGGGGGATATAATAATATTACTATGCTAAATTAGGAATTATTATATAATGTTATAGTAGAATGTTATTTTGAAATGTATAGTATAAGGGGGATATAATAATATTACTAGAAAGAAAGCATATGGGGGATGGAGCAAGGGGATGGTAAAGTATTATACAATCTGTTATGAATTTGGGTTGTACCTTGAAGAAGCCACAGGGGGAGGGGAGGGGGAGGGGGGGTTAGGGAGGAGGGGGGGAAGGGGGAAAAATTTGTATTTGAAAAACTTTTTCAATTAAAAAAAAAAAGAATGCTACAATGGGCATAAATGATGACCAGTCATAAGTGCGAAGACCGGTCAAAAGTGCAAGGACCTGTCAGAAATCACTTTTTTCAGCCCTCTGGGTAGTCCTTTTGTGCATATGGACTACTCAGAGGGCTGAAAAAGTTATTTTTGACTGGTCCTCGCACTTTTGACCAGTCTTCAAACTTATGACTAGTCATCATTTATGCCCATTGTAGCATTCTTTTTTTTTTATTGAAAAAGTTTTCAATAAAAGTTTCATTTGTTAAACTCCTTAAATGTTGATTATAATTCCTAATTCTTATTTAAATAATAATAGTATAAAGATTCAGGATTGAAGCAAATACACTGAGTACATTGATGTAACTTTCAGAATTCAGGTTTCAGATAGGTTATTGTTCTCTTTTATATAATCCTTGACAACTATGAAGAATCAGTGATGATAGCATAGCTGTGGCAGTGTAGCTTTCTGAATGTAGGCAGTCTGCATTTAGTGACCACAATTGGGACCAGCAACTTGGTCTTTAAATGAAGTGGTTGCTAAGTGAAACTATGACTATGCTTATGATTTTACTTTCCTTTGCCACTACCATTCATTACCATTTGTAACTGCAAATGATAACTAAAAAATATAGTCATTCAACTAGGACTGCCTGTATGGAACCAAACAATTTGTCCCCAAGGCAAGAAGAGAAATTATGGTATTTTCAGACTTTTCATGGTTTCAGTTGCTTCATCTAAAATATACCCAATTATTTGTTACATATTGTATCTTGCTATTGCAATCAGTACACTTTTGGTCCCACATCCTTCTTGAAATGTCAGTGCTCCAAGATCATATGGCCATGATGGCGAACCTATGGCACGGTGCCAGAGGTGGCACACACAGAGCCCTTTCTGTGGGCACGTGTGCCGCCACCAGCTGCTCTTTTGGTTTCCGATGCACACATGCGCACAAGCCAGCTGGTCTTCACGCATGCCAGAATGCCAGAAACCCGAAAACCAGCTGACCAGCAAGTGCATGTGCACCGGCCAGCTGGTCTTCAGGTTTCTGGCACTTTGGTGCTTCGGCACATGCACATGCCCACACGTTCCAGTTTGGGCACTAGGTGCCGAAAATGTTTGCCATCACTATCATATAGTGTCAGTCAAAAACAACAAAATCTATTTATGAAAGGTCTAAGTCAGAGATCTTCAGACTTGGCAGCTTTAAGACTTGTGGACTTCAACTTCCAGAATTCTGGGAGTTGAAGTCCACAAGTCTTAAAGCTGCCAAGTTTGAAGACCTCTAGTCTAAGTCAACACCCTTATTGTCTTTTATCTATAATACAATACTCTCACTAGATTGTTTGCCTTCCCTTGGGAACAACCAGATAAGGTTCCAAGGAGTTTGGGGTGGCAATCGTCAAGCTTATGCCTCTTGCAACTGCACAAGGACTTAAGGCTAGTTCCCTGCTTGATCCCTCCTGCTTGCCTGACTGGGAATTTTCCAACACATGGTGCATTCCAGTGCATTTGGCTGCTTGAAATGTAGCAGAATCTCTCTGTTTAACGTGTATGTTATTTTAGATTTATTAAGCTATTTTGGTACCCTAGACAAAACATCCAAAAATATCTCTATGTCTGGCAGTCATAAACAAAGTAATAAATGAAAGAAATATTAATTCTCCATCTTTTCTTGTCACCTAGAACTAGCTGATTAAAAATGTTGTCTCATGTTCAACTGCCTGGACAAGTCCTTGCAATTTTTCTTGGCAAGGTTTTCAAAAGTGGTTTGCCTGAGAGAAAGTGTCTAGCCCAGTGGTTCTCAACCTTCCTAATGCCACGACCCTTTAATACAGTTCCTCATGTTGTGATGACCCCCAACCAGGGGTGGGTTCTAATTTTTTTTACTACCGGTTCTGTGGGCGTGGCTTATTTTGTGGGCGTGGCTTGGAGGTCATGTGACTGGGTGGGCGTGGCTAGCTGGTCATGTGACCGGGTGGCCATGGCTATGTGTATAGGTTCGCCATCATGGCCATATGACCTTGGAGCACTGACATTTCAAGAAGGATGTGGGACCAAAAGTGTACTGATTGCAATAGCAAGATACAATATGTAACAAATAATTGGGTATATTTTAGATGAAGCAACTGAAACCATGAAAAGTCTGAAAATACCATAATTTCTCTTCTTGCCTTGGGGACAATGGTAAAGGAAAGTAAAATCATAAGCATAGTCATAGTTTCACTTAGCAACCGCTTCATTTAAAGACCAAGTTGCTGGTCCCAATTGTGGTCACTAAATGCAGACTGCCTACATTCAGAAAGCTACACTGCCACAGCTATGCTATCATCACTGATTCTTCATAGTTGTCAAGGATTATATAAAAGAGAACAATAACCTATCTGAAACCTGAATTCTGAAAGTTACATAAATGTACTCAATGTATTTGCTTCAATCCTGAATCTTTATACTATTATTATTCAAATAAGAATTAGGAATTATAATCAACATTTAAAGAGTTTAACAAATGTCTTGTTATTACCAAAAATCAAATATCCTAACTCCAGTGACCAGTTCTTCTTTCAGAATATTGAGCTTTGCATCAAGTTAAAAAACAAGATGCATTGGGAACTTAAGGAGTCCAGTGCTTTATAAATAGGATTATTTCATAAAATAATTTAGAAGACAACTGCACGTGCTGCTGGGATGACCACATATAAGAGATTTAAAAAGGCAACCTGACAGCCACAACCATATGATTAAAGCTCTGTCCTTTTTTATTTCCATTACAATGCACTTTAAAAGGGGCATGAATTTAATTGCATGATTATGGCTGTCATCTTCATTTTTTATCCTGCTGTTGATATTCTTTAATGCTGCCCTTTTCCTTAAATGAAACAAATTTTCTTAATACTAAGATAAAACTCTTCCAAACAACAGAAATGTTCACGAACTTGAAATAAAAGATAAAGGAGCATCAGTCACATAAACCAGAAAAAAAAAAGAGGAATTCAGAAGCAGTCAGGTAAAACTCACAGGAAAACCTCTTGTTCCAGGTAGCCCCTTTTGTCCTTTTTCTCCAGGATCACCTTGCTCACCCTTTCATGGAATAAAAGAGATATTAGCCACACAACAGCATAAACTACTGCTATAGTGATCCAATTGCAGTTTTCTTGCTCCCACCAAAGCAAGAAATATGGGTCTAACTGTACTTACTTCAGACTCCGAGGAGGGTTTCATGTAATGAAATGACAGAACCATATATAATACTGTCTTTTTCATAGAAAGCTAAATGCCAGGAGCAAGAACCTGACTCAATGTTCTGTCTAGGAAGGTATGAGTTATGGTAAATGCTGAAAATTCTCTGTACAAAAAGTTTAGGTACAGCAGAATTATATTAATACTTATTCCTAGCATTATGCCACAAAAATACCGCCTCTGAAGCAATGGGATTTAGCTGATTGGAAGATAACATCAAAGACAAGAATCTCTGTACAAAATGTTCACTTTTTGTACCAATAAGATTGGACATGGAAGTCTTAGTCAACATAACTAGCTTGGATTTACAAGTCAGCCAACATTTTGAAGTTAAAAGATTTGCTGCTGCTTCTTTCAAAAGAAAACTTCAGTGAACCCAGCTCTGATGATTCTCATCTAACATATAATAAATGGGATTTTAGTGTATATAGTGATGTATTTTGGAATATGATTTAGAGAGACCAAAGTTCTTACTCACTCTTCTCATATTTATACTTCTATAAGTATATCATAAATATACTTATTATGGGAACAATTAAAGAGAGAATTTTATGTATGACATCTTGAACTCCTGGATGAAATGTGAGCTATAAATCAAATGAATAAATAAATAACCACTTACTACTGTAGGTAAGTGGGTATACAGTCAAAACTGATTAAGTGAGTCTATGATAAATATACAATCTCTAAAGCTTTTTTCTTCATTTCTTCACATTTTTGCTAATCTTGGGAAACTCTACATTCCTTATATTTATTTAATATAGTTTTTAGCATAATTTTCCACCTTTCTCCTTTTCCATGACTATTTTTGCAATGCTAATGAAATTCTACCTTCCTTATATTTGTTTAATAGACTTTTTATCCCACATTTCCACTCAAATCATAGGTTATTGTGAGTTCCCAAAAATAAATGTATATAATAAAATATTTAAAAAAATTAAGTAAAATGCTAATGGACAAAAGCAACAGGCCCCAAAACAATCAAACTATAATCAGACCAAAGATTTCTGAAATCCAATCCATACTTGATGGAATATGGATTTTAAAAGTACATTGATATCTTGGCGTAAGAAGTTCCACACATACTGACTCCTCAGACAAGTAGTTCTTTCCCAATATCCCTTCCAGCTGCATTTTACAGTAGATGGGCCAAACTTATGCCAAGAAATGATCACTGCTTTCTCATTAGTCAGGCAAGAGAGAACAGGAGTTTAAAGGAGAGAACCAACTTTTCTAGATAAATCCAGCAAATAATATACGGTACATGTAATCTTCATTTAACAGCTGTTGTGTTTAACTATCATTAAAAGTTACAATGGCATTGAAAAAGTAATTTTATCTGATCTTTGCACTTATGACTATTACAGCATCCCTGCAGTCACATGATTGAGATTTGAGTGTTTCAGAAATAGCAGATATTTATGATCATCATAGCGTCCTCAGTCATGTGATCACTATTTGTGTGCTTCACATCTGGATTTTGACAAGCAGAGTCAATGGAGAAATCAAAGTTAAAATAACAAATCATGGTCATGTGATGTCTTGTTTAATGACCATGTTGCTTATTGAAGTAGATGCTGATCCCCATTGTGGCTGTTGAGGATTACTTTGTAGTTCAAACATGAAAAATTATGCTTCAAGACTCATTCTTATATTGCACCAAGTAAAAAGGAATGTGCTAAACAATTATTTATACTGCATTAATAAGGATGTCAGCTGCATTTTATTTAAAAAGAAACAAATTTGTACCTTGTCCCCAAATCATTGAAAAATCAGGAGTGCTCACCTTTGGACCCACATGGCCTACTTTTCCTCTAGCACCAGATTCGCCTTTGATTCCTGCATTACCCTACATTCAGAAGCACATATTGAAAGTTAGTTTTAAAAGAAAATGGAATTCCAGACATTTATGGCACAGAATAATGGCATTTGTTTCAAGTACAGAGCTAATGGACCTGCTGCCACAGATACTACTGGCAACCAGTTAAATAGTTTGTGTGTTTTTTCTGTAATCATATCCAAGTTTAAGCAATGTCTGCTAAATCATTATGCAGAGAGACACAGACATCCTACTTGCTCTACAGATGAAACTGAAGTCATTTGTTTCTTTTTTAAAAATGCCAACCCATGTCTCATGAAATAATCCAGGCCCACAAATAATATTTTGGGGAACTCACTTATCCAAAGGAATGAAATTTCAGGGAGAAAGGGATTTTTCCCAGAGAAAAAAAATGTAATAGAATTGATAAGATTGAAGATCTAAGGAGGGAAAGATAAAGCAATGGTATTGGTAGTTGGATGCATTCCTCCATTAATCAAAACCTTTCTATGTCCCCACAAATTTATATGTACAGCAAACATGATTTAAATCTGAAGTTTGGTGAATGCTCAATTGTCTTGCAATTTATGTGAATGGTGCAATGGCATCAGTGTGCAAAGTACATTATTTGTGTCAGTTGATCTGATTTGTAGAATAATATTATTGTGAAGATAATATATTTTGAATAACTGACATCATTGCAATGACATGGGAGATAACAGATACTCCTCTTTCCCCCAATCAGTTCATTAAAGCAAGATTCACTCTGCAAGAAACACAAAATTATTGTGGTGATTATTATTATTCTGTTGCTTTGCATGTACACTCAGTGCTTCTGTACCAGAGACAAATTCTTTCTGGGTCTAATCACACTTGGCCAAATGAAGCATTCAATTCAGTTCAATTTAATTCAAACAATCCATTTTAGGTTGTTCAAAATGGGTTGAAAGTTTGATGCACGTTACTATGTAACCAGTCAAATCCTACATAACACCAAATCACACACACACAATTTAGTTCACCAAAAGTAAAATAATTTCTATTTTACCTGATGGCCAGGTGGACCTTGAGGTCCTAAGGGTCCAGGTATTCCTTGTAACCCTGAAACACCCTAGTGAGGAAGAAAGAGAAAAATTAGATTCAATATTAATGAAAATGTGTGGACCTCAAATCCCACAATTCTCCAGCCAGTTTGAAAATGGGAGTTGAAGTCCATATATTGCTAAGGTTGAGAAACCATCTCACAAAATTGTTGTGAGGAAAATAGAAAGAAGAAGGTGTATTATATATATTGGCCACCTCAAGTTATTTATAAAAATAATAAAGGTGAGGTACAAATATATACATACATATTGTTGCATAATATAACTTAAATATTACCTTTTGTCCTTGTAGCCCGGCTTCCCCAGGATAGCCTTGGTCCCCTTCATTTCCTAATTCACCCTTTCAGATTAAAAAATGAAGAAGTAAAAGAAATATGTATTTGATATTAAAATGATATTGAAAGGACATATTGACAAGAATCAATTGCTCTTTGCTTCTGTTAAAGAAGTTGCTTGTACTATTTTGCTATGCTAGGAATCATTTGTTAGGAATTCATTCTGTAAAAGAATTGTATCCTTTTCTATCTGGTTTCTCACTTCTGTAATTTGCTTCAGAGCTAGGCACATCCTCGGAAACAGTTCCCAGGAACATCCTGTTCCATAGATAAGGGCGGCTGCCTAGGAGCACGAACAAACAAGGACAAGGGATACTCTGTAAGATAACAAAGCATGGACAGAGCATGGACAAAGAACGCTCCATGGATAAGGGGCGGGGGGAGGGCATGGGCAAGACATTGCCCACATTGAATAAAGAATTTTTGTCTCTGATTGGCTAAACAAATATATAAGATCCTAGACAAACTTTACCTAGATGTGGCTATTCCTTATATGCATACTGTCTGTATGTTTTGGATATAGTTTTGTCACCCAGCCTTTTTACTTTGGCCATAAATAAAAAGCTGTTACTTTTTGCAAGCCTCGTCTCAAGTCTCACTCTCTGTGGCATCTCAGTGGCTCGGGGAAACTTCTGTGATCTTACAATATTATTGTATTCTTGCCAAGCACTGATAATCAGTGCTGCTAACCATATTAGTCACAATTCCAAACAGAAGAAGGCAGAACTACACGAGTATGGATATTTAAGGCACTTACTTATCTCTATTGCACCTTTCTTCAATCTGATACCTTCCAACACCACTGGACTGGAAATGCTATGATTTACACCAGGGGTGTCAAACTCAAGGTTCGTAGGTCTGATACTGCCTGTGGGCAGTGGCGGATTACCCCCAGTTTGCACCGGTTCTATAGAACTGGTAGTAAAACCGGCAGGAGGCTCCGCCCACCAACCCCGACATCATCAGAATGCTTCTGTGCATGCGAGCGGCCCCATTGCGAACCAGTAGTAAAGGTAAGTAGAACCCACCCCTGCCCATGGGGTACTTAGATCTGGCCCCTGGGGCCGGTCTGGAAATAGCAAAGGACCGGCTAGTGGTGCCTCTGTTAGCAAAAATGGGGTGTGGGTAGGGGGGCATCCCCCCAACCACTTTTGGCCTCCAGAGTCCTCCAGGAGGCCTTCCAAAACAGGCCCTGCAGAAAGCTCTGGGAGGCCATCCAGGTCCAAAACGGGCCTAGATGGTGCTTCAGGAAGCCATCCAGGCTCAAAATGGGACTCTGGAGTGCTCCAGGAGGCCGTCCTTGACTCAGAAGGTTATAAAAAGGAGGAAAAGTAAAATATTTTACCTTTAGGCTTGCAGTATTCTGCTACTATAGCCTATGTCAATAATTTATAGTTCTAGTCTTCCTACGGAGTCAGTTTCTTGATCTGGTCTCTCTCTCATAAGATGATCAAGTAAGTATTAAAAAAACAAAATCACAGAAATGTATGCCTCCCTATTTTTATAAGTTTATAAAACCATGTTTGCGGACGTGCAATCCTGTGTCACGCCCACCATGGCCACAATAACCATGGCCATGCCCAGCCCCCAACCCCCCACCCAGCCCTCCAAGGTCAAACCCAATCCTGATGTGGCCCTCAATGAAATTGAGTTTGACACCCCTGATTTACACTCTACAGTAAGCACCATGGCTGGGAATTATGAGAAATACAGTACAATAGCTCTGGATGGCAGCAGGTTGAAGAAAGCTGATGTAAAAAGTTTGATAGGCTGTAGGATGCATTTATTCATTAGCAATTTAGAAAAATATCAAAGCCACAAGTTTCTGTTTTTGCAGTGAACATTTTTTGCAAAATTAAAAAACAAAACATATCTCATTTTGACATTACTCATCTATATATACACATCTGGTTTTCAGGGACTACATTCAGTTTCAGACACTCTTAATGAACATTACTGCCATGCTCTATTGCTGGAAATTCGGTATGATATAAACCCCCATTCGTCTGGTTTATTCAAGGCTACTGCAAATGTAGACTTGAATTTAAAGTTTCTGATATTTCATTTGAACATTTATAGAAAAAGGGAGGGAGGGAGGGAGGGAGGAAGGGAGGGAGGGAGGGAGGAAGGGAGGGAGGGAGGGAGGAAGGAAGGAAGGAAGGAAGGAAGGAAGGAAGGAAGGAAGGAAGGAAGGAAGGAAGGAAGGAAGGAAGGAAGGGTTTTCACATGTTAACTCCTATTATTTAAATAGAAATCAGGACATGTAGTCAATCTGGCTACATGTCCTGACTTCTATTTAAATGATAGGAAAACTGCCATAGAGTAAAATTGCCATAGGTTGAAGCTGAGTCTGTCTTAATAGCTCCTCTAGTTTTACAATACACCTTTCCTTTCATCATAATTGGCTATGTACATATATAGAAGAATCATTGGGAATAGCATTCACAGCATTGATTGAATGTTTATGTTCTTGACATTAATATTAGTTTAGTTTAGTTTAGTTTAGTTTATTTGATTTGTATACCGCCCTACTCCCGAAGGACTCAGGGCGGTGAACAGCCAACAATAAAATACATAGATACAAAAAATTTAAAAACCAGATAAAATCAAATTAAATCATTTTGGCCCAGACAGATTAAAACACCCCAATAATATTATTTAAAATATGGAAATTAAACTTATTATTTTCAGTTTTACTTCATTTGCAAAGCATCAGGCACCAGGAAGCTGCCTTTGATAATTCAGTTGAAATTTTAGAACAAAGATGTGAGCTATTCTAAGAAATTACTTGAGTTTAGAAACTGAGGCAATATTTAATAAGAAAAGAGTCTAGAAATAAATAAAGGAAAACTAGATATAAATAAAAGAAAACTAGTTATACAAATGATAAAAATTTAATGGAAATATATTTTTCTCATGTTTTCTCATAAAGTGAAGGAATAGAAATGATTTAGAAAAATGTCAAAGCGGGGCCCTTTAGGGTTTTATAAGAACATTGCCAGTGAACAGCGGGATTGTAAGGCAGATGAAAAGGAAATCATACTAAAGTCAATCCAGATCACAGGGTTGACTTTAGTAAGGAAGGTAAGGAAATTTTTTCAAGTTTATTTTAAACCACTACAATATAAACCTAATTGACCTACTGAATTTCAGAGGGAGCTTCACTGACGTTTTGTTATATGATTGGATCAATAGAGCATCTGCATGTCACTGTCAAAATTATTTAGGATAAAATCACTCAGATTTACTCTCACTTGAATTCTAGCATGAAGGCACAGTATTGTGATGTTATCTGGGATGGTTTAAGTCTATTAGTCCCAAAGATGTGAACACGGTCCTCGGAGCATGGATGCAGCCACTTGTATTTTAGAGCCATTTCCCACCTTGTTTATTAAGAAGAGGAATGGATCTATTTGGTGATAAATGCTTCTCTTGATCATTCCACTGCTTTGAAAGTGATGGGATAGCATCTGTCTCCAAGAGAAGATAGCTGGATCCAGTCAACCTGGATAGTTATAATCTGGTTTCCAACTATCTTTTTCGGGAAGGTAGTTGAAAAATAGTCTACCTCCAGCTCTGGGAACATGGATTATCTTGACCCTTTTCAGTCAGGATTTTTCAGTTTACTCTGTATCTTAATTTATTAGGTCAGTCTTTCTCTTTTAGCCCTATAGCGTTGTTGTTTTAATGGAGATTTCCATACATGGCATTATCTGTTATCACAGAAAATGTAAAATATAAGTACAATAAGGGAGTGTGATGGCTCAGTGGTTAAAGACACTGAGCTTATCAGATGGAAAATTGACAGTCCAGGTTCAAGACCCGAGAAAATGGGATAAGCTCCCATTCCTGCCCCAGCAACTGCCCACCATGTTCAAAAGCATGAAAATAGGAACTTCTGGTTTGGTGTCACGGTGAGATGATGAAGATAATGGGGCTCCATGAATTCCTGGTTGATCCTTCATCGTTGGGCAGCCCTAAGGGGTAAAGTCACTTTGGAGGGGTGATAAAGAAAGGAGGGATCCCTAGCTGATCGCAGGAGAGAGGGCTCTCTCGCTCAATCCTAGGTAGCCTCCCGATCAACAAGGAAAAGAAACGGCCATTATGGCCAGAACAAAGCTGGGGCAATCAAAAAAAGAGATGAGCTGGAGCCGTTTGTGAACAGAGGATTAGAACTGGGTGAGACAATTTTCAACTTATATAATAGAGACTTACACCCAAATAAAAGAATTCTTAAAAAGAAAGACTCTCCAAAACATTGAGAAAGTGGAGAGCTAACACAGAGAGACGGATTAGAGACCCTAAAGAGAAATAAATTTTAATGGAAGAGTACGAAGTTTTAAAATATAGAAAGACCGGACTGGAACAGGTAATATTGTGAAAAGTAATTTAATTTGTGGATAAAATTGTCTGAATGTGGGAAGATTATAAAGAAAAATGGGTTGTTGTTGTTTTGACATTCAGCTGTTATACTTTCCTTTTGTTTAATGCTGGAATTTAGAGCTGGGATGCCACCTACTGGTGAAAATATATATTATACTATTATATGGTGAGAAAAACCCTTGACAGACTATGAAATTTGATAACACAAGGGAAACAAAGGAGAAGAAAGAAAACAGTGAAAGACAAACAACACCTGAAAGGCCTTTTTTGTTGTTGTTGTTGTTGTTGTTGTTGTTGTTGTTCCATATTTACTTGCTACTTGGCTGCTTGGGAGTAACTAGTGAGCCTTTTGAAGATTTATAAGGCAATGTAAACTATAATTAACATGAATTACCTTGAAACTGAACACTTAACTCTGTGGATTAATGAGATTTGGCGAACTTTGGTGGGCAATTCTGGATTATCAATACTATCTGATAGAACATTCTACAAGGTGAAAGAAGAAAAAATAAACAAGATTTACAAATTTGGACAATTTAGAGGGAGCAAATTGGAAGACTTTGAGGACTATAAAAATTGAGAATTTTGAGTAACAGTTCCAGGACTGAGCAAATTTAACTAATATTGGCTTTTTTTGGTGTTTTTGGACATTTGGCATTTTGGTTGATTATTGAGTAATTTTAAGATCATTAAATTAATGTTTCAACAGGAAAAAACTAATACATTTCAAAAAGAAATACTACTGATACTTCAATGTATTCAAGAAATTTTGACAAGAAATCATAGGGAGATGATGCCAAGATACAAGATCCCAAGGGATGAGTATGGGAGATGTATCAAAAAGTCAATAAATTGAAATATTAAAAAGGGCAAGAGATTATGGATAGATATAGAATACTTCTTAATATGGGAATTGCTTCATTAAGGTTAGAAAATAGAGGTAGAAAGTAGAAATTAGGAAAACAGTATTATATACACTGATACATAACAGAATACATTATAATTACTATGTATACGTAAATGTTAGAAGTTGAAAGATTACTATTATGTATACCTAAACAGTATTATTATTATTGTTATTAGTATTGTGTATAAAGTACATTGACCCAGACAATACACTGTTCACTAAGCACTTACTGTATGGATGTTAAAGAAAAATTATAAATAAAATTATATTCAAACAAGTATGAAATACGAGCAGATAAATAGTTACAACTTCAGTAGGAAGGTAAGAATGTTCCGTGCACCTCAGCATATAGTCATGCTGGCCACATGAACACAGAAATATCTTTGGACAATGCTGGCTCCCTTGGCAAAGAAATGTAGATGAGCACCATCTCCTAAAGTCAGAAATGACTGAACAGAGGAAACCTTTACCTTTATAAATACAATAATTAAATAAATGTCTGAAAATGCAGCACATGTGGCTAAACAAAGGGATGAGAAATGCCATTAAACTTTCATTATTTGAAGTATAAAGCATTTGGCATTTTTAAGTTCATAGTGAACAATCATATTCAGAAAAATTAAATACTACCAAGGAAAATGAATTAATTAAAATTCAGAATGAACTCAAGGAAGGAACTTTCTAAGGGCAGGAGAATAGCTAGCAAAATACAGACATGAAAATGAAATAGGAGTTAAACTTTGTAATCAAATAATTACGCCCTTATTTAAAAGAATGGCTAAATTAAGATCTGGACAGTTTGTGCATTATGATTTTTTAAAAGTTTAATTATTAGCAGTTAAAGATTTGATCATTTTAATGATAGAGAAAGTCAACAGCTTTTCTAAGAACAATACATACATTTGTTAACTTTTTGTCAACTAGTTAACAAATGTATGTAGGAAGCATACCAGAGTAGTAATGGGAGACTTTAACTATCCAGCTATCAACTGGGAGACAAACTCTGCGGCAAGTGGGAGATCAAACAAATTCCTAACTAACCTAGCCAACAACTTTGTCATCTAAAAGGCAGAGGAGGGAATTAAAAGTAAAGCTATACTGGACATAATTCTTACTAATAGAGAAGAAGTGATAGAGGGAGTGGAAGTTGCTGGAACCTTGGGTAAAAGTGACCATGTCATACTAGAATTCAATATAATGCAAACATAAACAATAAAAAATAATCCCTCCAGTGTCTTAAACTTTAAAAGAGCTGATTTTAACAAACATGGAGAGACCCTAGGAAAGATTCCATTGATGAAATCCATGGGGAAAACAACTTAAGAAGCATGGGAAAGTCTGAAAAATGCAATCATAAAAGCTCAGTCCAGGACAATACCACTTTTGGTATTCAAGAAGAAATTCAAGAAGAAACCAGCATGGCTGCACAAAGATCTCTCTGAAAGACTGAAAGACAAAAAGGACAAGTACAAAAATTGGAAAGAGGATCACATAACTAAGGCTGATTATCAGAAGATAACCAGAGCATGTAAAAATGAAATCCAGAAAGCAAAGGCTCAGAATGAACAAAGATTTGCAACAAAAATCAAAGATAATTTTTAAAAAATTTCTTTCAATATATCAATAACAAGAAAAAAAAATCAAGGAAATAGTAGGTCCGCTAAAGAGAGAAGGTGGCAAGGAAGTAACAGGTAGTAGGGAGAAAGCAGGGCTGATTAACTTGTTCTTTGCCTCAGTCTTTATGCAAAAAGAAATTAAACCCCAATGTACAAAAAAAACTACTGTAAAAGAAAAACTAGAAATTAAAATTAAAATAAGCAAGAAAATAGTAAGAGAACACCTATCTGACCTTGACATATATAAATCAGCTGGACCTGACAGATTACATCTCAGAGTTCTGAAGAAGCTGGCAGATGTTATCCCAGAACCACTATAACATATCTTTCAAAAATCCTGGAGCACCAGGGAAGTTCCTGAGGATTGAAAAAGGGCTGATGTGGTTTCCATCTTCAAGAAAGGCAAAAAAACAGACCCAGAAAACTACAGACCAGTCAGTCTAACATTAATAACTGGAAAGATCCTGGAAAACATAATCAAGAAACAGATCTACGAACAACTAGAAGCAAATAAAGTTATAAATAGTAGCCAGCATGAGTTTTTTAAAAACAGATCATGCAAACTAACTTATTTTATTCTTTGATAAAGTCACTAAATTAGTAGACCAGAGAAATGCTGTGGACATAGTATACTTAGGTTTCAGTAAGACATTTGACAAAGTAGACCACAACCTACTTCTTTGTAAACTAGAAAAATGTGGAATAGGTAACATCACTACCAGATGGATTTATAGCTGCTGACAAACCATACTCAACGAGTAGTCCTTAATGGTACATCATCAACATGGAGAGAAGTAGTAGAGGGGTACTACAAGGCTCTGTCTTAGGTCCAGTACTCTTCAATATCTTCATAAATTACTTAGATGAGGGAATAGAAGGGGAACTCATCAAATTTGCAGATGACACTAAACTGGCAGGAATAGCCCATATCCCAGAAGACAAACTCAGGATCCAAAAAGATCTTGAGAAACTTGAACATTGGGCCTATCCAACAAAATGAATTTTAATGTGGAGAAAAACAAAGTTTTACATTTAGTCAGGAAAACTCAAAGGTATAAGTACAGATTAGACGAGACCCAGCTCAAAAACAATAACTGAGAGAGGGACCTTGGAGTCCTAGTGGATGATCACTTGAATATGAGCCAACAGTGTGCAGCAGTCGCCAAAAAAGCTAATACAATCCTGGGTTGTATAAACAGAGACATAGAATCAATATCATGTGAAGTACTAGTACCACTTTATAAAACCCTAGTAAGACCATACCTGGATACTGCAACCAATTTTAGTCACCATACTACAAAAAAGGTGTTGAGAGTTTGGAAAAAGTTCAGAGAAGAACAAGTAAGATGATCAAGGCCTGAAGAATAAAACATATGAAGAATGGCTGTAGGATTTGGGTTTGGCTTGTCTAAAGAAAAGAAGAATTAGGACTGGCATGATAGCAATATTCCAGTATTTGAGGGGCTGCCACAAAAAAGAGGTGGTCAAATTATTCTACAAAGCACCAGAGGGCAGGTCAAGAAACAATGGCTGGAAACTGATCAAAGAGAGAAGCAACTTGGAATTAAGGAGGAACTTCCTAACAGTGAGGACAATTAACCAGTGGAACAGCTTTCCTGCAGAAATCGTGGATGCTCCATCACTGGAGGTTTTTAAGAAGAAATTAGATAGCCACTTATCTGAAATAGTGTAGGTTCTCCTGCTTGAACAGGGAGGACTAGAAGACCTCCAAGGTCCCTTCCCTCTATTCCATTCTAATTAGAAATATCATTACCTTCATGAAGGTCAGTTTTCATTTAAATTATTAGTTCCCCATATCTGGAATGATTCAGCACTGGAAGGAGTCTATAAAAGAATTCATTAGTATTCATGAACTCAATGTGACTTCCCCAGGATCCATTGCTAAATGAGAGAGAGAGAGAGAAGAAAAATAAGCCTGTTTTCAATAAAGCAGTAATAAATGAATGCAATGGTTACTAACCATTAAACCAGGAGGACCTCTTTGCCCACTAGGACCCTAAAAGAAGAAGGGAGAAAAAGCAGCTATACCAACTCATACTGAAGCAAGTTATAAAATATAGGCAGTTCTTGATTTACAACAACAATTGGGCTTGGAACTTCTGTTGCTCAACAAGGCAGTCATTAAGTGAGTTGCATCCAATTTATGACATTTTTTTCTGTGGTTGTTAAGCAAATCAACACAGTTGATAAGTGTATCTACTAGCTGTTAAGCAAATTAGGGTTTCTCCATTGACTGCTTGACAAAAGTCAGCTAGGATGGTGGCAATGGGGATTATGTGACCATGGAATGCTGCAACCATTATAAACTGTATGCTGGCTGCCAAGTGCCTGAATTTTGATCATATGATCAAGCAGTGGCAGTAAGGGGGCAGGAGCCTTAGGTGATGCAGATAAAAAACGAGCAGGTCTTTTCCCATTTCGTCTTGATATTTTTGACATCTTCTATAGCTCTCCTCATAATTATATATTCTTTTTTTTTACAGTGATCAATGATGCACCTTTCTTAGACTAAGGCATCTTAAAACTGAAGGAGAAAATATAATGGGGTGATAAAGAGGAAAAGACCAGGCTTGTACAGAAAAGGATTTAATAAGCTTAAGAGGTTTTTTCCTATTTGCCCAGGGCTGTGGTTGCCAAACTGTGTGCCACATCACTCAAGGGCATTGCAGCAAACTCACAGAAGTGTTGTAACACAGCAATGCTTGACAACCATGAGACACTATGTGAAGTGCAAGCTGAGGTGCACCGTGAAAAAATTACTGAGATACTAGGAGCTCCATAAACTTTTGGCAACTTGTGACTTTACTTTAGTCTAAAATTTAGCTAATTTTAGAATATTTTTAAGAGAGATTACATTTGAGAAAGGGAAGAGATTGTTTCCTTAACCATAGCTCTAGTGCAATGATGGTTAACCTTTTTTCTTGGGTGCCAAAAACATGTGTGTGTGATAATGTGTGTGTGCGTGCCCACACCCATAATGCAATGCCCCCATGCACGCCCTGCCCCTGCGTATGAGGGCACAATCCTCCCATGCTGCCACGCCTCCCTGCACAGGGGTGTGCAACCCCCCCCACATTCCCCCACCCCCCATGCATGCACATGTGACCCCCGCACTCCATTTTGGGCCTAGCAGGCCTCCCTGAAGCCTCCAGAGGCCGGAAACAGCCCATTTCTAGACTTCTGGTAGGCCCGTTTTTCGCCCTTCCAGAGCCTTCACATGAGCCCTGTACTTATCTGGCATCCAAAACAGGCCATGTGGAGACTCCTGGGAGGGGAGGGGCGGCATGGGCATTTGTGTGCGTCTCCCGCATGCATGGCAGAGACCCAAAAATCAGATGGCCGGTAGGAGGCACATGGGCATGTGTGGTGGAGCTGATCTAGTGCGTGCCCGCAGAAATGGCTCCATGTGCCACCTGTGGCACACGTACCATAGGTTCACCATCATGGCTCTAGTGTTTGCTATAACCATTTACTTTTTCTGTATATAAGTAGTCTTACATTAGCACCATTCTTGCCTGCTTCTCCTGGTTCTCCATCAGTCCCTGGTTCTCCCTGCAAAGGACAACAAGATTATTTAAAACACATTTGTGTCTTTTTTAAGTTCCACAGTATATTGGTGATGAATTCTGACCTGTGATTGAAGCAAATGTTTACAATATGGCCTGACTTCCTAAACCTCCTCACTACATGTTGCATACATTTCTAACACTACAACTGTGAGTGTATGTATGTGTGACTTGCAAATACATTTGCTACATGAACATGTCATGTGCATATATAAATCTGGTTCAGTCTAAAAAAGCCAAGTAACAGACACTTGCAAATTCAGTTCACACTGCCAATGGCATCTTGATTCAGATTGACTTCAACTAACTCTGGAAACCTGCCGAAATCCAGAGGAAACAATGAAACATAGTGTGCTTCCAACATTCGGACCTGAGATAAGATGGAGCCACTAGCCAGTCATTGAGTGGCTCTCACTTTTTATTTCTGACACTTCTGATACACCTGAGTCTCAAAATGAATTTTAATCAGCATTAATAAATGAATAAATAACATAGTGATTTAGTATCATAAGAGAACAAGAGAACAGACTAGTCAAAATATATAACATTATATTTAGAAATAACTAGGTACGCTCTTAATGATTTCTAGATGCTTGGATACCTGCTGTCCCATATTTCCTCTTTTACCCGGAGGACCAAGTTCATTGTTGTCAGATCCAGGAAACCCCTGAAAATAACAAACAAGCTCTTAACTAGTTTCCCAGACTTCTGCTTTTTCTACAGCTAAAAAAAAATGGGTTAGTGTAATACAGTATAATCTACTTTCATCTTAGTATAAATTAGGCTTTCAGTCAAAAGCAACAGATTAAATCACTGTGGTTGGCAAGGAAATCTTCCAATACAATCTGAGTAGGTAGATTCATGATTGAAGGTATAAATACTTTCATTTAAAGCAATTTCTATTCCCTTACCTTTAAAAAAATATAGCAATATTCTGAATTATTGGACCAAGTAATTTATTATGTTTCCAACAATGGACTGGGATACATTATGTCTTATAGTATACCTCTGCAAAATTGTATGTATGTTTATATGTATACAAGAAAGGTATAAGTGAAACATCATGCCATTTCAGTGAAATGGATTTCAGCAATAGTAACCTCATATAGCAAGCTGCAGATCCTCTGAAATGACAGGCATTAGGTCCTCCTGAACATAGAGTACTCTTCTGAGCTTGGATCTTGATTGACTCATGAGGTTTTCAATGCTTTGATCAATTTTTATATACATTTTGGTGTTTCCGTTGATCTTAATGTAAATGAAGCGGGCTCTGATAGATGACCACTGGATAACTTTCTATTCACTCTATTCTAAAGGCAGGAAATGCATCCGGTTGGAAAAATTACAAACTCAGCCAAAATCCTTTTGATACCTCTAGGAGGCCTCTAAGTTGTCAGAAGATAGGAACATTCTAATGACATACAGCTTAAAGCTTGGTTAGGTCAAGGGGATCCACATGAGTTAAAAGTCATCTATCAACAGAAGATAATTTGAATCTATGCTCCAGTAATTTACAGAAGAATTATGATTGTTTGGCAAGAATAATATAAAACTTTAATAATTAGGAAATGTCAATTAAATATAACAAATGTATATGACCATATAAGCTGCTGAGTTAACAGAATCCTTTGTCTTAGAAGTGTATAAAACCGTTGTAACGGAGTTCTCTCCTTGTTCAAAGCTTCATGTATAAAACTGGCTCTGAACCTTGCGCAATATACTGTCTCTGACTAACCTAGGAATGTTGTTTGGTCTCATCATTCCACAACATTTATGGCACCCTGGCAGATGGGACTAAGGAACAAAGAACTTTTGTTCTGCCAGACAGCCTGCCCCAGCGGGAACTAACGCCTCCCCAAGGAAAATCCACTGGCCGGCCATTAGGACTCCTTTGAAGTCCACGGAATCTTTCAATGAGGAAGCTGCCGTAAACCTGCTGGCGAAACAGGCTAGTCAAGAATCCTTAAAGGTTAGCCAGACACAGAGACTCAACATAAATAAAAAGAAAGAAAGAAAGGAAGGAAGAAAGAGAAAAAGAAAAAAGAAAAAAGAAAAAAAAAGAAAAAAAGAAAAAAGAAAAAAGAAAAAAGAAAAAAGAAAAAGAAATAGGAGGAAAACAGGTAAGTATAAGTCAGGGAGTTCAAGTCTCTCTGTTAAGAAATACCCACCAATTTAGTGGTGGAAGAGGGGCCTGATCACCCCCCTAGGAGACAAGGCATCATCCTAAAGTCTCTGGTGAGGAGTTCAAGTCTCCTATTGAGATTTCAAGTCTCTAGTAAGGAATTAAGGAACTAAGTATTGTGTGTGATTTTATGTGTGGTAAGAGAAAAGAATTAATTGCAGTGTTATAAACATTCTGATAAATTGTCATTTGTAAAAAGCCAGAGAACTCTGAAAGAACTAAGAATAAAGAAGAAATTGTTTACTGTTCTTCCCACCCGGGGTTTAGCAGGCAGTAAAAAGGTAAAGCCTGTCTAAATGGGAAGACTCAGATAATTTGACTTGATCAATTTGGTGTGATTTCTGTTAAAACAATTCCTGGATGTGCATCTATAATGATAGTGTGTAAAATTGAATGGGATTGAATTGATTGTGAGATGTTTGGCTGGCCAGCAAATTAAGTAAACTTGTGCTTGAAGCTGTGGGAAATGTTTGATGATATGTGTGCATGTGTATGTATGTAATCATTTCCAAACCTGCAGGGAAGATGAAATCCTCTAATAATAGTGGCTTGTGAAAAAGCTCACTGAAATAATTGTAATGATTGGTTTGCATGAAGTGGGATTTTTGTATGTGAAATTAGTTTATACAAGAAGTCTGATTGCAGTACAAATATGAATGTATGTGTGTGAGGTGTCCTGAAGCTTATAAGGAATGATAAAGTGAAGTGATCTTGAGCCTTGTGAATGCCTGTGTGTTGATAATGTGGGAAATTAGAGAGAAATGCAGAAGGTTGTGTTGTTGAAAGGATGCTGAGAGGCGAAAAGAGATGAGAATTCTATGTAGTTTAAACATTTTTTTCCTCTCCCTCCCCCCACTTCCTTTGGAGGAGAGAAGCAGGAAAAGGGTGGGTTACTGGGCTTTTCAGCATCTCCCTCTCTGCTGAATGAGCATGAGAAAGGAGGGGGAAGTGGGTGATCGCCTTATTTTCAGTTTCTTTAATTTGCATATGAAAGCTTTTCTGTTCTGAATACAATTTTGATTTTATTTTTTCTGGAAATTTTTGAGGTTTAAAACGCTTAATTAAACCTATATAAAAGAAAGGATTTTGTAAGATTTTTTTTGAATCTGACTTGCATTTTACTAAAGGCAGAGAATTGAAGCTAAAGTTTGATCCAAATATATTTCAGAGCATTGATCCAAAGTACCTCATTTAGATTGTTTGTTTTATTTTTAATGTCCTTATGTCTGTGTGCATTTTGAATGCTTAGGTGCTCCATCATATGGCATTGTTTGTTTGTTAGCAGCATAAGTGGTTGCCCTTTTAGAATTTGTTACAGAGATGGGTTACAATAGTAGAAGGGTGAGAGGAAGTTGCCTTTAAGTTGGTCCGCACAGACTTGTGCCGACTTGGAAATCAGGAGGAATTGAATGTTTTATAAGAAGAAGGAGTTAGAGAAAATAGAATTGATGGAAGGGAGAAGGTATGTAATTTGTTTTTGGAAAGTTATGGATGTTGTATAAGAGGAAGTGGTGTTTTTGGTTGACAGAGATCAGTTTAAGTGAACAAAGCATTTGAATACACTTAATTAGTGAAGGGAGTGTTGGAAGATATGAGAAGCTCAATATTAAAAGAGCAAGGAAATTCCCCTAAAGAAAATAAGCAGAAACTCAGGCAGAGTTTCAGCCCCCACCTTTACCAATGGGCCATTAAGAAGCTGAGACGGCCACCTTATTTTCCACAACAAAGAAAAAAAATTACAGGGGGCTGGGAGGAGCAGAGAGTGGACTGTGAAGCTGTTGCTTGTTTGCCAGATCCGGGACAGAGGAGCCTGATCACAGACAAGGACAGGATTTGGGCACCATGGAACGGTCACACACACAAATCAAAGAATTCACATCAAAAGACTTTAAAGGGTCACATAGAAAATCAAAAGATGTTTTAGAATAAAAAAAAAGGTTACTCTTATAGTTAAGACGGGCTGGCCTCGGGACTTCCTGTTGGCACCGCAGGCTCCGTGGATGGTCATTTTTGACCGCCAGCCCTGCGTCTCCGTAAAAGCCGTTTTGACAGTGCAAATCAGCTGTCAAACGGCTGAAAAAACTCTCCTTCGGGAAAAGAAGGAGAGGAGAGCTGGTGGGCGAGAGTAGAGCCCCCCGAAAGCCCTCTGGATCATTTCCAGAGGCTTGGAGGGTGTGAGCTCCTCAGGCAGCCCGCCAAGAAGCTCCGGAGCCAGGACGTCCCTGCAAAAGCAGGGAGAGAAGCCGCGATCTGATCCTGCTTTTAAAACGTGAGTTTTACTGATCCCAAGCGCAGGCAGAGCGGAAAACAAGAGAACAAGCCTTAAAAATACAGAGCTTAACTTCAAAGTTACTTTGTTTCGATCTGAATCTTGAGCTGAAGGCGGAAGATGGCGTCTTTGTCAGGGCTTTGAAAGTGAAAGCCTGAAACGAAAGTGCTTGAGAACTTTGCGCTGGGAGAGTGGATTGGCTGCCTATTAACTGCTGGGAACAGAGAGTGCGGAGGGAAGAGAACAAGGGGAAAAAAACTACTTTGTCTGGCAACTCAGAGACTTTAAATTAACATCATTAAAGACTTTGTCGTTTTCAAAGAAAAAGGGGGGGGGAGGAAAAAAAGAAAAAAAATGGCTTCTAAGCAAGTGAAACCAGGAGTTGCTAAAGGAGGGGGAGGCTTCCCAGTTGTGTAAGTGGTGACACAGAAAGCACAACTTCCAGCTGATTCACAGAGCCAGAGCCAGAGCCAGAGTCAAGAAGCAGCACTTAATGATTTTAAGGAAGCTATGAAAGAAGCCATGAATAATCAAGCAATAGCAATGAGAAAAGCAATGAACAATTTAACTTTACTTGTTGAAGGAAATTTAAGAAAATAGAGGAAGATATAGGTTCGATCAAGGGAGCAGTTGCAAAGGAGCATGATAAAATAAGAGATGATATCGTTTTTGCTGTATCAGGACTCTCAAATCTTGTTATCCAGCTTGATGGGAAAGTTGAAGAAATTAATGAAGCCAATTTAAATCTGGAGAGCAAAATGGGTGATGTCATGACTAGAACAGAGAAACTGGATGATGAATTGGTAATGTTGCAATACAGATCTATGGAGTTTGCTCTGAGACTGAGAGGCCTGAAGGAAAATAGCAAAGAAAATTTAAAAGACATTTGTGCTGATGCTATGGCTGAGATAATTAAAGAAAAACCAGAAGATGTGGCAATCCAAATTGACAAAATTTACAGGATTAATTCCTGGTTGGCAAAACAAAGACAGCTGCCACAAGATGTGGTGATTTATTTCACATCTAGGAGGATCAGAAATGAAATTTTACAAGCTTCTTACAATAATAAAGTTCAGGTGGCTGGGCAAGAGGTGGTGGTTTTGAAAGAAATTCCTCCAAAGATGTTGAGGAGCAGGAAAGACTTTGGCTTTTTGGTAAATGAGCTGAGAAATCAACAGGTGGCATATAGATGGGATGTTCCAACTGGTCTAATAGT